CTACATTTCTATTCACTTATTACATTTATGTGATTTATATACCAATTCATTTTTTTCCACAACTGTTTTCTAACCTCTCTTTATTTATTTTGTTACTGTGCCTTTAAAACTGATGCATGTAAATAAATGACCTCTGTTCAGAGTGGTTGCCCTATGTTGTGCTTCATTTAAAAAAAACGCAGTCCAGTTTTGATAACATCCCTGATAACGTGAGCAGGCAGGTTTAACCTGGTGTAGCCTGAATATGCTGAAATAAATGTGTTGGGATTCTGTGACATCACAACAACAGTGAATTCAAAGAAGCCTGTTTTTGCTGCTTAGTTTCTGTACACGGAATTTATCGACTGGGGAGTGAATGGTACATTTTGAAACTGTAACAATGTTTACATATAACATCAAACACTTTTATTTAAAAATAAAGCAAAGAAATAATGGTTTTGCATGATATGGGCCCTTTAACAAAAATCTAAAATACCAGTCACTTACAAGTTTAAAGTTAATGTTGCTTAAAAGAAAATACTACCATTATAGTATTGGTGGATAACCACGGTAAGGCTATGACTGTAAATCTGTAACACACCACCACTAACCCTTTCTTTTAAAATTAGGATATGTAATTCAAAATCCTAAGAATAAAAAAAAAATTAAATAATTAATCAAACGTAACTTATAATACAGGAAGTGTATGATCACATTGGTGGACACTTGCCATGTATTTAGTAACAAAACAGACAGATGGGAGATGGGCATCCAAGACTTACTTTTACAGAAATGTAATACTTCTTTGCATTATGGAAAAACAAATTTTCCCCACTTTTTTAATAAAAAAACAGTGTTTGGTGTAATATGTAAACATTAATAAATTTTCAAAATGTACCTTAGTCCATACAGTCAACATACGGAAACTAAGCTGCACAAACAGCCTGTTTTGAACTCACTGTTTTTGTGATGTCACACAAACCATCGCATTTACACATATCTTCCTTTTCAACCTACAATAGTTTATAGCTCTGCCCATACACACTGAAGCTTCAAGGATTGTTTCAGCTGGACTAGTTTTTGAATGAGGGAGAATACAGTGCAGCCACTCACAACAGAGCTTATTTACATATATCTTAAAGGCACAGTAAAGAACAGTCTGTTTAATTCTATGGGATACAGAGAGGCTGGAAATGGTCATGTAAAATGAATAATGACTGTTTTGGTACATAAACACACATAAATGCCATCAGAGGCATTTCCCATATGGAAACAATAAACAACAAGAAAATTAGGATATAGGCTCTTTAAAATAATACTAATGGTCTCATACAAGCGCAGAGTTAATCTAGGTTTACTTTAACTAGATACAATAAGCCTAAAGCTAGACGACTAGCATAGTGAGAGAGAGAGAGAGAGAGAGAGAGAGAGAGAGAGAGAGAGAGAGAGAGAGAGAGGGAGAGAGAGGGAGGACATTTACAGTGTGGTAGTTTTGGTACTGAGTATGATCAGTAAAGTTTGAAAGCTAATGTTCAGAGCTGCTTTATGAGTTTATCTAGATTACTTTAGGGCCACTTCCCACAGTGAACTGCGACCGTTAGGCAGGTTAGTTATCTTCGCTGCAGGCTAAACGCTTCACCATGGGAACGGAGCGGGACTACGGCGAAACAAAAGGCTCAACAGCACGAATGAGAAACTTCGTCCTATAGCCGCTCCGTGTGGAGGCTGTAGTCGCCTGTAATCACTCTCTCCACAGAGCAGCAGACGAGTGGGCGAAAATATGTGGTGGAGAAAATATGCAGACGTAATGACAGTGCTGAAATCTGAGTCCAGCTTACCGTTTAACTGCTCACCGCCGCCACTCCGGAGAAAAGTCCACTCGATCTTATCCTAAGCGTCCATGACTCGCAGAAACCAGCGAATAACTGAAGCGGTAACGTTTCCCTGAACCAGCAGAGCCCATCACATCCACCGATGTGAGCAGAAGAGCGGGCAGTAACGGGACGGACGCTCAGCAGAAGCTGGTACGGGGAGGTACTTAGTTGTTACCGCTCTTTCAGTGATGCTCAGTGTGAGAGACCGCGGGGAACAGGCTTTGCTATTTTGCAGCCCCTGCTGGTCAGGCGGCTCATTTTTAGTGAATTTTAGGGATGGACGATACCACCGTCTTTCTTTTCGATCCGATTAGTAGTAAAAAGGAAAGCATCCCAGTGCCAATTCGCATACTTTTAAAAAACGTTTTGTTCATGTTAAAAAGGGAATTCTTTGAGATTTACAGTGTGTGGTGGGCTTACAGTCATGGCCAGACATATTGGCACTCTTGCAGTTTTACCACATAATGCAAATAAATAAATAAACCAAATTTGTCTTTGAAATTGTGAAAGATATTTGGAGCAGGTGAACATCCTATACTCTTAGACACATTTCAGGTGTAGGCAATATAGAAATAATAGTTTGAACCAGTTTAAATAGAGAAAAGTTGAGTACATCTTTGTGTTGTGAGTCTGTGTGTCCCAAGCTGAGCATGGAGAGACAAAAGAGGAGGAAAGAATTTTCTGAGGATCTGAGAAGCACAATTTCAGAAAAGCATGGGCAACACCAAGGCTACAAGTCCATCTCCAGACTGGAATTTGCAAAATCTTACCTTAGGAAGCCAAAATCCTACTGGGAACCAAAATAGATCTTTTTGGTAAAGCACATGATTGTTCTGTTTACAGAAATACACAGAACACAGTCTGTACGGTCAAACATGGAAGAGGTTCACAGATGTTTTGGGGTTGTTTTGTTGCTTCTGGCAGCAAAGCACGCATGCCTTGAATGAGTGAATGGCATCATGAAATCCGAACACCAAAAGAATTTTGGAGCGTAACGTAGGGTCCAGTGTCAGAAAATTGGGTCTCTGTCGGAGGTCATGGGAAGTTGAGGGTGCCAATAATTTTGTTCATACCAATTTTGTTATTTGAATGGACAAAAAAGTATTGTAACATTATTAGTGAAATCAACTTTATTTTAATGTATCAAACTATTTAAAGCAATTCATGAGTAACTTGCAAGAAAATCTACAAATCTACACCTTTTTTATTAGTATTGTATAAACTGCAACATGAACTTAAATATTAAGGAGAATATATGTAGCGTACTCTGCTTTCTCTGGTTCTGGACAAACTTTATGCAAATGAGCGAATCAAATTGTTGCTATGTGGTGCATGTCACACTCCTAGTCAAGCAATAGACTTTATTCAATACTCAATACACAAACACACATCAAGCAGGAGTTATAATAGTTGAAAAAACAAATGAAGTATTGAAAAAGTGTGATGTTATAGTGTCAGTTGATTTTTGAAAGTTTAAAAAACAACAGGCTGCTTTCAAGCACCACACATACTTTAACTCTGGGCTTCAAAACTCGCTTGTGTTCTAGCATCACATGATCAAAGCAGCCAAAAGCTGGTGAGGAGAAACAGTTCAGCTCGCTGTAATGAAAATACAGCATTAACTTGAACAGTTCAGGGCTACTGCAGGTTTTGAAAATTTATGAATAAAACATAGACTAAAAATATTTTAAAGTTCTGTTTTTGTATTGATTTTTAGCAGTTTCAGTTAAACCCCCACTGTCCACATCCTTGCTGTTTAGTGTAGTGAAATAACTGCATGTGATCTGCAATCAGAGAGCCTTTACACTACTTAAAATGAATTGCATATGTTCAGGCTTAGGGCAGCTTCTGTTTTATCAGATGCACCTATTATATGTGCACTTTTTTGGTTGGGAGTGGGAGTGGGGGCGGGGTGTGCTTTCTATCCCTAACTTCTAACTTTACATTATTGCTTCAAAAGAAAAAAGTAGATCATCACTATCCAATAACAAGAAAAATAGATCAATTGACAAAATTGAGTTTTGTGGGAATAAATCCTAGGAGTGCACACATCCAGATGAAATTTCAGAACGAATTTGCATCATAGTGATTCAGCTAATGGGTTCAGAGACAAATCCACAAATGCACTTATAAGGTAAGTAAAACCATGACTAATGGTTGTAAATGAATGAACCTTCAGCTCAGAGTATATAAGAAGAAGTAATTACTTATGCACTTTGAGACTATATTTTGGAAAATCAGAAATGATTTCAGTCACTATGATTCAGTTGAACATCAGCTGCTGTGACTCTTCACCTATAATACTATTGCGTTTATGTTTATGCCTGACACAATATGCGATAATAAGCAATAGTTCGTTGATTAGGCGCAGAGTTAAAGTCAAACTTTATTAAGGTATGACGTGATAGACATATTTCATACTGCTTTCTGTAGACATGAGAATCTGAGAAGCTGTGTAGAGCTCGATGGGCCGACATTATTCAAACACGCCCGGTGTAATGAAGTATTTCCGGGGTGGGGGACACCCCAACAAAGGGACACACAGCAGCCAGTCCTCCTTCTGGAGTCTTACATTACTGCAAGGGTTGTGTCAGCAGTACAGTCTTTTGCGCTAATACAACAACAGCTACTGAGGAGCCTCATATGTTCAGATTCGGACTAGGACTGAAATGTGAGTGAGGGTTATGGCTCCAGTCCACAGACTACACTGACACAGCGAAGTCGGGCTCAGCTCTGCGTTATTACAGCTTACTTTCCCCCAAACGTCCCTGCTGAAAAAAATCAATAGAGACCATTAGGTGTTTCTGTTGGTGCCTAAAGCTGTTTTTCAGCGGGGGTATTCGGCAGGATAAAACATAACCTGCTTACAGTCTCAATAAGCTCCATACGCCCTACATAGTGCACTACGTAAGTTATAAAACTATGGCGTTTACACCAAAATAGTGCACTAAATGTTAAACAGGGAGTCGAACAGCCTATGGCTGTATCCCAAATCGCTTTCTATTAGATATTGAATGCACTATTTCGGCACAGAATTCGTTATTTCATGACCAACTTAGTGTACTACATAGCGAGTAGGGCTCCATTTGAGATTCATCTAGGGTTCTCTTCCGTGTAATAAAGCCACGCCCACTCTATGCAACGCTGAGCGAAAATGCACGTCAGAGTTGAGTAGAGGGTTACATTTATAGGTCTGGAGACGCTGCTGTGATTTCGGTGTGTTTTTCTCTGTTCTAGACTACCTGAAGGGCGCATAGGTAAGCATTGTCACTCCAATCAGAGTCTCCCAGCCCTCACTGAGGAGTACTCTCTGTTAGCTGCTTTCGTCGTAAGATTTAATGTGTTTGAAACGAGCCCAAGTTGTGGTTGAGAACTGAGCACACCGACGTGACGGTTTTCCTTATCAAAGCTCTCACTGTGTGGAATGCAAATAGAGGAGTTTAGCTTACAGCTACTGCATGAAGACTGCGGCGTACATCTACTACCTGTCGTTGGAAACCGTTCGTAGGGTACTTTGTAAGAAAATTGCCTGTATCTTACCACCTGTGTTATTATTTTAGCGGTGTGCAATTATAAGATCAGACTGCATGAAGATAACCTACATCTTCTATCAGTGGTTAGAAACCTTCAGGCTTAATGTAAAAACATTGCCTGTACCTTTTCATCAGTCTTGTTATTTTTGAACACATTTGTGAGTAGAACCCAAACAAAAGACACTTGAATGATTAGGATCTTTTATCAGAGGGTGGAAAAAATCAGTAAAAAAAGATTTTCCCTTGTAGGTACGCACTATGGGAGGCAAACTGTCCATTGATGACAGTGTCCATGTGGTGATTGTTGGCGGTGGGTTTGGTGGAATTGCAGCTGCCCAGCAACTTAAACATCATGGGGTGCCCTTTATGCTGATTGACCTCCTAGATGCATTTCATCACAATGTTGCAGCACTACGTGCTTCTGTTCAAAGTGGTACGCCAATCAGTAGCAGATGTATTTCATATACATATATATAAATAACTGGTTATGTCTGCTATTTCTGATGTTAGTGTTTAACAGTCTGTTTTTTTCTTTTATTTTCTTTTTACAGGCTTTGCTCGGCAGACTTTCATCCCGTACAAAGAGACTTTTGGAACGAGTTTCCTTCAGGGACGTGTCATACGCATAGACACCACAGCACAGTTTGTTTTGCTCGACAATGGAAAGGTAATGAGTGATCTTTCACAAAGGTATTATTGCACTGGAATACGCACTTCAATGAAATATTGTCTTTAGGTATTAGAACCAAAAGAATTTCTAATTTTCTGTAGGAAGTTAGATATTCCCATCTCATCCTGTGCACTGGGTCAGATGGACCCTTTCCTGGCAAATACAATGCTGTGGATTCGTACCAGAAAGCCATTGCGAAGTATGAAGACATAGTGAAAGAGGTGGGTCTTCCTGTTCTCATACTCATAAGGACCCCTGTTGTTGCTGCTCTTTCCAGCACTTGTTGTGATCTTTTCCACAGGGCTCTGCCCAAACAGGAAGGCAGGCAAAGGCTTATTTACATTTTAATTTATGGTTCTTTCTCAGATCCAGACAGCAGACTCTGTTCTCGTAGTTGGTGGTGGAGCCACTGGGGTGGAAATGGCTGCTGAGATCAGGACAGAATATCCGACCAAGAAGGTAGTTGTCCTCAATGTCACAACAAACCCTAAATCTAATCAATCTGTAGATTTGAGTGTGATTGATTTATGTTGTCTGTGTATTAGATGTATTGGGTATTATATATTTCAATTCTTTGTTTAGATTTCTGATTATCTCAAGAAGCCTGTGTTAAGCCCTATAGTGCACTCACACTAGAGATAATACCATTTTTGGTTTACTAAGGATGGTCATGATTAGTACATTGACTGAAATATTTAGATTTCCTGTACAGTCCATTGCAGTTCTCTGCAGCACAAAGACACATCCATGGAGAATTTGCTAAAGATAATGTGAAACAAGTGATAAAAGTCATTTATTTCCATTGGCTAGACATCAGTTACTGCAGGCATTGGTAAATTACACAAGACTACAGCAACACAGATTGGGTGAAGGTAATGAAGCTACCAGTAGACAAAATGCAAATGGCCAAAAGAAGTAGTGGCAGCTGGTGTTTTGAACAGGACAGGAGATGACATTTTATTTAGCTTTCGTTCAGTCATTCTTTACTTTATTTACAGGTGATTCTAATTCATTCCCGTGAGGCCCTAGCAGACCCAGAGCTGCTCCCCAGTGTGAGAGAACAGGCCAAACAGGTGCTGCTAGAAAAGGGAGTGGAACTGTTACTTGGTAACTTATCATGATTGTGTTATACTTTTGTTGGCTTTAGCACATATTTCTAGTAGACAGATTTCTGTTGGCTTGTAGAGTTAAAATGATCTCACAGATATTACCTGTTAACCTCTGAAATTCTAAATTTTCTTTGTTTCATAGATTCTCTTAGCCTGAGCATATATAAGAACATTTTTTTCAAATTGATCAAACCATATTTCTAAAAATTGAGAATTTTAACACAAACCTAGTCTTTTGATCATGGAGGACAATTATTTTTTAACAAATCAATTAAAAAAATTATGATTGAAGAATAGAATAAAAATTACACAGAAAATCACAGAAGTTCAAATATATACTGTTAAATCTATATCACATGTATAACTAAACAAACTTTCATGGCTTTAGGCCAATCAGAACAATTTCTGTTGCATTTTTTTGCAAATTCTTTTGCAAATTTGTTGCATTTTCAAAACTCATTTACCTTTTTTTCCTGTTTACCTGTAAATAGGACAGAAGGTGTCAAATATGAATGAGCTGGAGTTCAACGTGACTCGGAAGGGCACCGTGGTCAAGACCGATAAGGACGAGCAGTTCACTGTGGATCTTGTCATTTGCTGTGCAGGGAATAAGATCAACTCGGATGCATACAGGTCCAGTCTAGGTCAGTTGTTTTCTCAGAAGCATGGGTGAGAAAATAAGGCATTTGTGTGCATCTTTTCTGGCAAAAGACAATGCAGCATTTCAAAATATGTTTATTGCACATATAATAAGGTCTTTCTCAGTTTTTAAAGATTGTCAGCTGTAAAAGTTCTTTGTAGCAGAGAAGCAACAGATAAAGCATGTTACTCTGTAGGAATGACTGGTATGTTGGTCGGAATAATTTCATGTAAGTTAATACTTTAAGTCAAGTGAACTTTTAATACAGGAGTCTATTTTATTATCAGTTACTTTCACATCTGCTTATTTGTGATGTCACTTGAAAACAAAACATGATTAAACTTACTGTAATGCTCGTGGCACTTAGTATCCAGGGAAACCTCCATGCATCTGAATCACCACCGTTAGGTTGTTTAGGTGGATAGAATGTTTGATCTTTTAATTTTCAACGTTTTTCAGAAAATGTGCATTTATACTCTACCCGTCAAAACTTTAGACACCCCTGCTAATAGAAGGTTCTTGTAGTATTTTCTACATTTTATAATAGGTGAAGACATAAAACAATGAAATAATACGTATGGAATAATATAGTGACTAAAAAAGTCTTAAACAAATCAAAGTATCTTTTACTGTAGATTCTTTTAAAATCCCACCTCAGATGCTGTTCGAACAAGACTAAAGAAAATGCTGAGACCTTGTGGTCACCTGTTGAACAAAAATGTAAAATTTCTGTTCTGGGAATAATTTCATACATAAGTATCAACTCCAATATTTGTATTTGTCTTAGAAACAGATTTCAGTTGCAGTTCAACATTAAAATACATAGGTGTATTCTGTTAGGTCTGCCCAAACCTTTTACTGGTTGTGTGTATGGAAGATTCTGTATCATTAATACAAAATTACCATGAATCAGTTTTTATTAATTAAGCTCAAAAACCATTATGAACTGTTTGTATTATCTTCATTTCACTCCAAGTTTTAGACTGGTATGTTCCCTCACCCTGTTTGCTGCTGTGTCTGCTCATGTTCTAGGTGGGTGTCTGGCAGAAAATGGGGCCCTGAAAGTGAATAAGCACATGCAGATTGAGGGCTTTACCAATATATACGCTGTTGGGGACTGTGCAAATGTCAGCGAACCCAAGATGGCCTATCATGCTGGTCTCCATGCAGCAGTAGCTGTCACCAATATTATTAACAGCCTGTCTGGAAAAGCACTGACGTCATACCACACAGGTAACCTTGGGCACCTCACCTTTCTCCTCCAGTAACACTGTAGCACTTCTCAAAGAAGTACCTTCTAGATCAGGGGTGCCCAGTCCTGGTTGTGGAAATAAACCACCCTGCACAACTTGGCTCCAACCGTAATCTAACACACCTAATCCAGGCCTTCAGGGGGAACTGGATATGAACTCTCCAGGGTGGTAGATCTCCAGGACCAGGTTTGAGCACCCCTGTTGTAAATGTTTCACGATGTACAATCATCCATTTTAAATTGCCTTTGTTCTCTTATATGCAATGTGTAACATTCAAATTGTATTTCTCCTCTGTTCTCTTAAAGGAAATGTGACAATGCTGTTGGCTATGGGTAGAGATGATGGGGTGGGCCAGTTCAATGGCTATAAACTACCTCGCTTCCTAGTCACTAAAGGAAAGAGTCAGGGTCTGCTGCTGTGGAAGAGCTGGAGGGAAATGGGACAGAAAGCCCCCAGCTAGAAGAAAGGTATTGCCCATGTTTAGGTTACATCCAAACAGGCCAACCCAGCTCTAAGAGCGTGTTTTATTATGTACAACAAGAATAAATTAATCTATTTGTTGAACAGTTTCACAGGTTTGCAACAATCATTAAATGTACTGTTGTAAAAAGTAATGAAAAATAATGTTAACTTTTACGTTCCTTTTATAATGTCTTCTGATCTTTTTAAGCGCTAGTCTTTGTAATTTTTCATATGTGGACAAATGTGTTTTTACTGTGATATGTTTCACACATTTCTTTTTCAGCTGAAGTAAAGCTGTCATTAAAGTAAATTGTAGTTTACCATTTACAGCCCAGCTCTCTACAACACTTTGTGAAAAAATACCCAAAAATCACCTCTAGGTGGAGACAGATTTACACAAATTGCAGTAAATGTACTGCAGTGAGAGTAGATTTATGGTCAGATGATTTTGCCTGTGGAGATTCTGCTGTTAGATCTTTTTGATGATTAGGTATAGTGGATGAATATGAAGTCATAAATACTCTGCATAATAAAGTATGTATTTAATGTCAACCTCAAATCATGACTTTGCTGCTGTCTAAACTGGAGATCTGGTGTTTTTGTATAATTATGAAACCACAGATTTATATTTAACAACAGAACTACATGCAATATGTGCCTCTTTTATTGGGATGTGAATAAGTGCACATATGCAAACATGGCATGTCAGCATGTGCAAAGTTTGGAAGTTATTAGTAAACCGAGATAAAGAGGTTTTTTTAATGCACGTATGCTTTGTGTTTTTGTTGTGGTTTTTTTTTTTTGGTTTTTTTGTTTTTTTTGCCAGGAAGGAAGATATCAAACAGACTTACTTAAATATTATTAGTTAGTGTATCTGCCTGTACTGCTACTTTATAAGTATTTCACAGGTCAGTTTTTTTTTTTTAACAGTTGCAGAAATTGATTTTAAGTGTCTCACTTGCTACTTTGAGGTTGTTATAGGTCCAGTATACAGCTATACAATTACAGACTCTAACTTATCTGTTGCTGCATCACTGGTCAGCTTATGACCAGAGGTGGAAACAATACAGGGAATTCAAAGTGTAAGTATGGTGCCCAAAATTTACTGAAGTGGAAAAAAATTGGAAAAAAGTGTTGAACATTTGAATATACACAAGAATATAAAAGTAACAAAAATAAATGTTTTAAAGTTTTCTGTGTTTTGTGATTTATGGTACAGTGACTAATTGGTGGTACTAGTCTTGCACAAAGACAAATTAGCATACTCATGGGCAGCATCGTTTTACACCAATATGAATTGGTCAGATATTTTGATAAAAAACAAGTGATTGATGAGAAAAAATGAAATTTGAGATTGGTATCGAGTACTTTGAAGGTCTAAATTAAAAAAAATCTAAGAATGAGTTTTTTTTCTCTTGGAAATGTAATTGAGTAAAAATGCAATTATTCAATTTCATTAATACGTTCAGTACAGCAGTATTTCCAACCCTTGTCCTGGAGGCACCCTGCACATTTTAGCATTTACCCTGCTTTAACACGCCCACTTCAACTCAGTAAGGGTTGTTAATGAGGTAATTATTTGATCAAGTGTTTTGGAAGCTGGGAAACCTCTAAAACGTGCAAGGCAATGTGCCTCAAATACCGTGGTCGGGAAACACTATAGTAAAGTACAAGTCTTCCAAAAAATAATACTTAAATATAGTAACAAAGTACAGTACTGTGAGAAAAGTCTTAGGCACCTAAGCACATTGTTTAAAACCATTTATATAGGCATTAAGTGTTTTTGTAAAAGCACCGTACATCATATACATAAATAAATGAACATTCATACAGTGAAAAGTAACAAGAATATGTTAAGAGTATATTTTCCACTCCTTTTTATGACCACAGGACATGTGACCTTTATTGACCAGACATTATTTGGGTGGTGTCCATTCCTGTAACACGTGATACTGAAGACTGGAGATGGAGTTGTCAAACAGGCAAATCTAAATGTTTGAAAGTAGAATAGAAATAAATGTATAAATTTTACTTAAAGTATCATCTGACTAAAAAGGCACAGTATTGCATAGATTTAGGCAAATTTCAGGATTCCTGAAACAAAATCATACAACGTAAAGCAATTGTATTGGAAACAGCAACACTTTCATCTGTCACTGTTAACTGTGTCTCTTTTTCATCAATATGTTTGCTTTATATTTTCAAGATTTATGTGATTTGCAGCAATTTGAAAATAATGTAACTAGCTAAAATATAAAATAACTAGAGGGGGTCCACTTCTGCCAGAAGGTTGGCCCTGATTGGTCCAAAAGAGTTTCAGTCAATACTGTGGAGACAGTGACCTCTGGTGGTAGGACCAAGCCTGTTCTCTCACAGGCATGACATTCTTCTGTTTTATTGCAGACAAAATACATTACTGCAAGTTTTGACAGTAAGTTTTCAGAGTGACACAGGTGTAAGCATTACTGTTGCCAGCAACTTTTGTTTCAGGAACGCTGAAATTTGACTCAATCTATGCATCATTAAGCCTGTTTAGTCAAATTAATCTATTTTGGACATTTAGATTTGCTTGTTTGACAACTCGATCTCCAATCCTGAGTATCATGTGTTACAGGAATGGTCACCACCCAAATAATATCTGGTCAACAGATATTATATGTAAACATATCTAATCTTAAAAGAATAAGGCTGTGGTTACTACTTCCTCTGTGGAGGAATATATAATGCATGCAATATATTATGATGGACAACCAGAGGCCAGCTTGTGGGTCATGTGTCTCTATGTTCTGGAAGAGGAAGTACATTAAAATGTGTCAGGACAAATATTTATTAAAAACTCCACCCGTCATTCTGTTCTTACAGCGAGTAGTTTATCAGTTGAGTAGCAAACCTAACCTGGCAGTCACAATTAAGCTGAGAGCATGTGGATAGATAAAAACAATCCATGAAAAAAAATTGTTGTTTACCACATTGAGACTCTAAGCTTACAATACAATTGTTAAAAAGAAAAAAATCTTCAATAAAAGATAAACATTTTTCTAAACAACATTCCACAATTACCGGCACCCTTAGAAAGTATAAGAATAGTTTAATAGAACAATTTAGTAGAATTTGAACATTTTTGAGTCTAAAAGAACTCTTTAATTGTTACATGTGACTTTTTAATTTACTTAAGTTTTGCTTCCAAGGCAGTGAGAATACATGACATTATATCCACCAGGATACTTATTCCTGGATACTTGAGAGCAAAATCTGTTTGTCTCTGCTGGGATGCTAAAATTGGACTGTCATTGGATCTTGGCAGGATAATGATCCAAACCATTCTTCCAGTATTCCATACAAAAATGGCTCACTGACCACATAATCAACCTTTTGCAATCATGATCTCAGTGTCCTGGCTTAAACTCCACTTAAAAACTGGTACAGTTTAGCTTAAGATGAGAATTTGCAAACAGTGACCAAGGACCCCGAGAACTGAAAAGAGAAGAATTGTTTCACACACTTTGCTGTTTATTCTAACCCATTATCAAATATTGTAGGGGAAGATTTTAGGCTTGTATTTTTACAAAGAAAGGGAGTGTGCACAAAGTACTGAATTCAGAGGTGTCTTCTATTCTATTAACTATTATGATTATTTAAAGTTCAGTGAATTAAAAAATGTAAGTCAGTCCAGTTATTGTTCTGTACTGGAAGGTAAAATTGCTAACACAAAAACCTGATACTGCATTATTTTTAAATTCCACTTTATATTTCTTTTGTTAGGAAGCAAAAGACTCATAGGGATCATTCTACCGAACTGATTCAAAGTTCAAAACACATTTTGGTCTTTTAACTGACCTGGACTTCAGACTAAAATCTCTTTGCTTTGAATGATCGTTTACTTTAATTATGTTGTTTTTTTTTTTGTGTTTTTTTGGGCACAAGTTGAAATTTAGGGGTTAGGGTTTTGGACAACCACCTCTCATTATACAGTTTCCCTTTAAATTATATATTTCCCTTATTACTGTCTCATCTAATACCTTGGGTTTAAACATATCATAATATAATCCTTGTAAATATGTAAGGTCTGAATACTTCATGTGATTTTTTGAATAGTTTTTTTCCTGTGGTAGAACAGTTTGAACTAATTCAGTAGAATGGTCCACAGATAGATGACAAAATAAAGGAAAAATCAAGATAAAGTGTCTTAGGGAGGTGTTGGGCCATCACAAGTCACCAGAACAACTTCAGTGCTCCTTGGTTTAGATTATACTCTCTAGAACTGTTCTGGATGAATGGAACACTGTTCTTTAGATATTCCCTCAGTTGATGTTTTGAGGATGATGGTGGTGGAGAGCGTTGTCTAACACATTGGTTAAAAATCTCCCATAGGTGTTCAGTTGTCTTGATCTGGTGATTTTAAAGGCCTTAGCGTATGATTTACATATTTTTTACACTCATTCAGTGATGCACTGAGCTCTGTGAATGGGGGGGCATTTTCTTCCTGGTAGAGACTCACATGAGGATGGAAATGTTCATCGTAGGATAAAGGTGATTAGACCCGATAACGTTGTGGACCTAAACCATGCCCACCAAACACCTCCCACAGAATAATAGATATTGATGATTCTTTACAGGACTTTAAAGGGTTCTAGCTAAAAGGGTTTCCCTACAGGGACAAACTGAACAATCTAACAATCTGATAACTAAAAATGTCATTCTTCCCTTTCTTTCTAGTTCTTTCTTTGCGTAGAGGTTAGTGCTATTTCTGCCTTCTCCTCACCCAAACCAGCAAGCAGGTCACACTGTCCCTCAGCATGGGTCATCTACATCCATTGCAATTCAATTTGCCATAAAATGAATTATGCGCAGTGTAATTAATGACCGAGTAGGAGTCATTAAGCAGTCTCTATGCTGTTCTCATACACTCACTCGTAAAGAGTTTTTTCTAGCTCATGTCCCTTATTCCTTTTACAATCAGCATACTAGGCCAATTTTTCAAATTATAAGAGTCTAATTCATCCTGACAAAAAAACAAATAGTTTCATAGAAAAGGAAGGGATCAATTTCTCTCTCTCTCTCTCCCTATTTCTTTTAGGCACTGTGTAGAACATAATCACTCTGTAGAACATATAAACAGGCCAGTACCGTACAACTAGACTAAATAATATGTAAATAGTATAAAAATAAAACATTAGGATCAGTTCCACAGAATCTAATGTCACATGTAATAAGTTACAATGTATAGAAACAGCTTAAACTTACACTATTTTACAAAACTTTGGAATCACTTGTCATATTAACAGTATATCTTACTTCATAATAACTTATATAGTGTACATTTAGAATAAAAGAAACCCCAAAGGCGTTGTTGCTATTTTATTCAGTATTTCAAGTATTTGGGGAACAACAAGAAGTTATTTAATAATAAATAATATATTGGAATTGTGTATTTTTCTTTTAGCCATTTTTTCTTTTAGTAATCCTTACACAACTTCCATAGTCATTTTGGATATTCAACTCTGTCAACATTTTGACACATCAAACTTTTTTCTTTTAATTTCTCAGTATTTTCTATTAATTGTTTTTCATAATAAGTTTTTCGCAATAGAAACTTTTTATGTGTATGACTGCAACAAAATTGGGTTTATAGTATTAAAAACTAAGTCTAAATTTTGAGCAGTATAGTGCATAAAATGGCAATGTATAGCATAATCATCACAGTCATCATATAGGTAGAGTACACTGCTTAACAGAAAGTATGCATGCATGCAGAAAGAAAGAAAGAAAATCAATCAGAAAAATTCAGTGGTAGACAAATTATAAAAACCATTACGGTAGGTTTATTCTGCATTTATCCTAGTAATAACAGAATAAATTCTATAAATTATAGAAATTATACATTAATAAAAAATAAAATAATAAGTAGAAACAAAAATTCTGTTCAGAACACCAGCTTCCAAACATCTTGAAATTTTGAGTTAAAGTAAAAAACTCCAGCATTGTCTTTGGTATCTTTATTCAGTACCGTATTGAATGACCACATTGTGGTTTGGTAATTATATTGTATCTTATGTAATATACCTCAATATATACTTGTATACTTTTGAAATTACCTTAGGAAAACCCCCACTTGACAGAATTATGTTGTTTGTGATTTCCAGTCCTGACAAACAACTCACTTCTTTCCGCCTCTAATTCCCAAGACAAACCAAGCATTTCAGGCATGCTGACCTTGTCCTCAGAGTTCATGGAAACAGAAGCACACAACAGTGAGCTGATTCATCCATCTTTTTGCTCCTTTCGTTTGACTCCTTAAAAGCAGTCACGAGACACAGAGGTTACATTATGCCATGGATGGGGCAGCACAAATCTCCCTGCTCCCATTTGAGATGGACATTGAATGTGGAAATGAGGTTTTAGAGGGTGATGCAACATGGTCCTAGTTAAGGTCTATTTCAATAATATCTGGATTTAGCTGAGCTAACCTGTGATAGAGTTCAGGTATTTCAGACAGATATAGTGTATGGTGTATGTGTTGTAAGCTACAGCTATTGAATTAATTCCAAAATCTTTGCATGATTAAATGGTTAAGATGGAAACAGAGCAATTCAGAGTGTCATGATGTGAAATGCTCTTTCAGAACTGTTCAAAGCAGTGGTGACAGGAACCAGACATCTGAAGAGTTTAATGCCTCTAAAAATTATATCACAGGTAGCTTTTATGTGAAATGTTAAAAAAATACTTTGCGTGAGTGGTTTACGATAGTTTTGAGATAGAATATTGAAGATTTTGGCCTAAAACTTGTAAAATCTGTTCATGGCAGAGAGGTACATGCAGAATGCTGTACAGCAAAACAGTACCTAAAGACATTTTTTTTTTTTTGTTCAGATTTACCACTACCTATTTCACCATTACCAACATTATAAACACTCAGAAGACATGCTCATTTTCTGACCGCTGGTTCCTATAACCACAATTGTTTCTCTAAGCCTCATAAAATTTCCTTACAATGCATCATTTCACATCAAAACACTGAATAACTTGGCTTATGTAACTTTAGAGGTGAGGAGGCGGGATGCAAGTGCGAGTTGCTTTTATTAAAATCATTTAACAGAGTCCAGAAACTGAGCAGCAGAGTTTTGAAGAACAGACATGTCCATAATGAAACAAAACTGAATGACAAGCTCAAAGAAAACAAGCGACAGAGTAACATCCACAATGCAAGTCAAGGAGACTGAACAAACACAGGGGTATAAATACACTGAGGGGAAACAAGAAACACCTGAGACTAATGAGGGGGTGGAGCTACAGGCAGGTGGAGCAGATGACAAGGGGGCAGGACCAGGGAGGAGACACAGAACAAAACAACAACAAAAGCACATGGCACTTGAAAACAAAAGGCACATGGCTACAACAGAGAGGAAGACACACTCTGGAACAAGGAGGAAATCGTGACAGCTTACATATCAACAGAAATTGGAGGAATTCCCCTCTTAACTTAGCAAATGCATTAATACATTACTCACTGTTTCTAATCTTTTTGTAATTTGTTCAGGCTTGGAAAGTGTGTTATGCAGTTAACAAATGAAATAATACTAATGGCAATTTCAAACTCAAGAGAAAACATTTAAATTATCTATTCATAAGAATTGAAGGAAATGGGCAGCATTTATAACTTCTTACAGACTGTTGATAAGGCCTATTTGGATAGGCCATTATGTTTCATTGTGCTTCATCATAGTTCATTATAGCTTCACTCTTTGCTCTAACACCACAAAGAGGGACTAGTGTATCCAATAGTGCTCCTGTCCCATGAAAACCACTCTAGTATTTTTCTTATAGTAGACTCATGAACACAGATGTTATCTACTGCAGATAGTGTCTGCAGACCTTTAGATGTGATATCCTCTGAAATCTCATTTAATTAGACAAGTGGTTCCCAGCCCTGGTCCTCAAGTACCCCTGTCCTGCACATTCTAGTGTGTTCCCTGCTCTCAACACACCTGATCCAAGCAGTTAGTTAGCAAGCCCTTCCTTAGTTAAAGTGAGTGTTTTAGAGCAGGAAAACCACAAAAATGTGCAGGGCAGGGTGTATTCCAGGACCAGGGTTGGCCTATGGATTAGACCGTCTTGCATTCGTGGGAATGTTGTTTTCATATTATGCTTTAGGATGTAATAACGCTAGGAATTTAAGAGGTTAGATCTTAGATTTGTTCAATGAATGTCGTGTTAACAAAAACTTGTTATATAATTTTTGTGTGTTTGTTAAATTGGAACCATTCATTCACAAATCCGTCCTTACAAAGAATTCAAGAATTAGTTTTTTTGTCCTCACAACCTTATGATTTGTTTGATAGATTCATCTTCTAATGAGAAAGAAGAGGCTTGCACAAATAGTGCCTACATCAAGACCAGTGGTCAACAAATCTACTCCTGGAACTCCATCTTCTTGCAAAGTCTATTACAAAGTCAGACCTGCTAATCAATGTCTTCAGGAGTTTCTGATGACTTGATGAGGTGCATTAGCATTGGGTGAGGAAGCAGTGTCCAGCATGTTAGATATAGATAGAGGAATGCAGATCTCCTGGGGGAGGGTTAGTGGCCACTGATCTAGACGAAATATACTCTAAAGATACACTCCCAAACAAAGGCATGACACTGTAAACATTGCTGCAGGTTTTGTTGTATAAAAATTCAAATCATAGTTATAGATTTCTGCATATGTAGCAGTCAGGACAAGGACAGAGAAGGTGATAAGGCCCAATCTTCTTTTTCTCAATTCCCTAAACGGCTTTTAACATGGAGTTGTTTCTTGGGTGAAGGCCAGGAGCTAATGCAGTATCATCTAGCCACTCCCTGTCTGTAATGCGGAGAGATGGAAAGGGACAGACTGACTCAGTTGAATCTAAAAAACAAATATTGTATGAAACTGGGTTGTAATAAATAATATCTATCTATCTATCTATCTATCTATCTATCTATCTATCTATCTATATATATCTGTCTGTCTGTCTATCTATCTATCTATCTATGTATCTGTCTGTCTGTCTATCTATCTATCTATCTGTCCGTCCGTCCGTCCGTCCGTCCGTCCGTCTGTCTATGTATCTGTCTGTCTGTCTGTCTGTCTGTCTGTCTGTCTATCTATCTATCTATCTATGTATCTGTCTGTCTGTCTATCTATCTATCTATCTATCTATCTATCTATCTACATGCCTCAATGAGTAATTTGTGAGACTTACAAAAGTATTCTCCTAAACTATACCGAGGCAGGCCTTCCCGTAGGCTTAGCCCTTATACAGTACCCTTATTTTTAGCATTTAACCTGTGATGAGTTAAACTGTTTTATGTTTGTTTGCTCTGTCCTTTTCAAATTAGTCTTTGTGCCTGACACCATCAAGTAATTGCATCATAATTGAACTTATCATTGGGGCACAAATTGGTCTAACTACTGTGACTGTTATGAGGACAGTCTGTGCCAGTTTTGATTAGGGGCCCTCCTTTCCCAAAATAATTATCACGATTGATAAAGCATAAAGCCTGCAGTCCATCTGTAACATCCATAGCCATTACAAAAAAATCTGTTTCTACAGAAATCACATTTTTGTTTAAACATTTAGGGTCTGTTTCCCAGACAGGAATTGAACCTAGTCATGGACAATATTTGCCTTTCAATAGAAAATCTCCATTCAAGATCTTGTGTAGCCCATGACTAGGCTTAATCCCTGTCCAGGAAACCATTAATGTTTCACATGTTTAATGACTTTATGAATGTACGCAATGTGATATGCAATACATATGTGTGTTGTTTGCTCTGAAGCGAAACAAAATGGTGGTTCTGTTGTCTGAGTGTGTGTGTGTGTGTGTGTGTGTGTGTGTGTGTGTGTGTGTGTGTGTGCCCTCAGCAGTGATCTGGACTGAGGCTGACGTCACGGGCTGCTGGTGTGTGAGATCACTTTTATTCTTGGGCCAGAGTCCTAAATCATTTAGCTCTTTGCAGCCATCTTAAGCCTTTCTCAAATTAAGTGAGCCAGACAGAGAGAGAGAGAGGAGTCTGTAAAATTCTACGCAGGTCCTTTCCCAATGTAGTTTAAGACAAACTGACAATCACAAGATGCTGCAAAACGTCTGAAATTCTGTGTAGCTCACCTATTCAGCCTGATCCACAGGTCACAACATCCTATAAACTTGTTAGTTTTTCCTACACTCCTCTCATTCCATCCTTGTCACCTGATGGACTGCATACTGCATTTTCTTCCCTGCCTTTCCAAGAGATATAAAACCATGTACTGTGTGGTGTCAAATCCAATTACACCCCATCTGCATGCTTTGTAGGGGAAAAAAAGTGAGAAAGAGTTTTTCTCAAGTCCTAGTTGACATGGCTGGTGGTCTGTCCTGCATGTCCTTGCACTGGTTGGTCTAATCGATGAGGAGGGTGGAGTTGGGGTGGAAGGAGGGTGGGGTTGAAGTGGAACCGGACAGACCCAACCCCAACCAAAACAGACAGGCCCCCCCCTCAGTCAGGTTTACAGGCTGCATAGGAGCCTGTGTTTACTTTGCAGGAGAGGAGAGTAGAGCGTCATTCTAGAGTGTCCTGCTAACCAGTGCGGATGCAGACCAGCATCGTTCTCTTTCTCCTTTACTCACTCCTTCACTCTCCTCTGCCAGAGACTGACTCTGCATCTTCTCTCAGATGTGCTCTCTCGCCCTGTCTCCCTCTCTCTGCATCTCTACTGAGTGAGTGAGAGGGAATAGGAGGCTGTGAGTGCTGCAGCGCTCCGGCGGGAGTGGACGGAGCTGCCTCAGCTGGAGCAGCAGATTTTTGACCTCGCTGGAAGTCCACCGCAGGATCTCTAAAGGACAGCCACCATGTGTGACTGTTTTCATCTGGCGTTCCCCAACTGGCATGGGCCAGCCACGGGTGGGCATCATCTCTCTCTTTCTCTCTCTCACTCTCTCTTTCTCACTCTCTCTGTTTCTCTCTCTCTCTCTTTCACTCACTCGCTCTCTCTCTCTCTCTCTCTCTCGCTCGCTCGCTCGCTCTCTCTCTCTCTCTCTCTCTCTCTCTCTCTCATACTCTAACTTCACAGGCTGTGAGCTATTTTTATCCCTGATCTGATACTCAGCACTCCTTGCAGTGCAGACTGTGTTTTAGGTGCTGCAGTGACTCTGTGTTTTTGTGTGTGGAAAGAAAGTCTGGCACTGAGCTTGTTGACATCCCTGCACAGTTCTGTTGAAACACTCTGCAGTGTGAGTGGGTGTGTCTGCAGTAAAGTGGGTGTGGTTCTGTTGTTGTGGGTGTGTCTGTAGTTATGCAGTATGCAATGGGAGGTAGTTGCAGTCTAGAGTCTGCAGCAATGTAGGTGAGCTCTCTGACTTCTGGGGTGAACTTATAAAAATTGTGGAATTTCTCCGAACCTTCAGCAACAGCTGCAAAAGATTGTTGTAAAACTTTCACTGTCATACTGATTCACCATAAAACTGTAAAACCATGCACATTTCCAGATACTATTCATATAGCAGGCATATTTTTAATATGTGTTATATAGGATTATGATACTGGCTGTGTTAAGGATTAATTGCTTTAGTTTTCATGAAGAGAATATGTATGTAATATCCAGTGGGGCAAATTTCATTACATTAAACCAAGTAAACAATGTCTAAGCATGCTTCTCTATGAGTAACCAGGGCGTGTGTGTGAACAGTAAGCTTAGATCTGCCACCGACTTAAGATACGCCCTTCTCTCTGTGAGAAGTCAGACAAAAGTGCACAGGTATTAATCAAAATTAGAGGCTAGTCAGTACATGGCTTTGATGCTTTCTATAAATGTTTTTGTGCCAAAAAGAATTTCCCAAAAGAACTCACTCAGAATCTCAGGATTATAAGATTACCTGGTGTCGCTGCAGACGGCTAATGCTTCATTGAGGAATAATCTAACTTTTTACAGGGTGCCTGTCAGCATGATTTAAATGGTTCTTGTCTCTGAAGTATGAATCAGTTTTTCTTGACAATGTTTCAAAAATTATACAGATCCAAAATGGTTTTGTAAGAAGTGATGATAGCAAACAAAACTAATATGCTATAATAATACTGTATGAACATAACATGGTTTCAAAAACACATTACACTCCCTGGTGCGCTTGTTTTCAAAATCAAGTTATTGAGTAATAGCTTTTATGCAACCCAAGACATAGTCTTGACATGATTTTTGGTTTGGCAGAGATTCTTAGAATTTATGTTGTGGGCATGTGGGCATTATGTTTTCACTTATTTTCTAGGCTTCTTTTGATATTGCGTTATGACACATCTTTAAATGTTCAGCTACATAATCAAAGCCACCAAAACTTCATAACCCACATATTTAAACTTTAATCTGTTTGAGTTTTTTTTTTATAATTATTTGGTTGTACCCTCATAGTCGATTGGTTTTTAAGTAAATAATGTCCTTAGCTGAAAAAAGTGACATTTTGGAATTATTTGTCTTAAAACACTGCATGGCACACTGTACATTGAGGCATATGTTTTCAAGTGAAGCGTGTGCTGTAATCTGATTAGCTGTGGTTCTGTTTACTCATATCTCAGTAATCAGACTTGAAGTGCATAAAATAGCCTCAGCCGAAACAAAATCACAATGACTGTTGGTTCCTCTTTGAATGTAATATTTAGTTTGAATTACTTCATCAAAAAACTGTGTGTGAATGTATTGAATGTAATATTCACCCTTTCACATGTTTATGAAATGTATGGTGAGGCGTCAGATGATACAGAGATGTTACACAGCACAGTCGCAAGGTCACTGTGTGTGATTCTCAGCTTGTGAGGCTTGGATAACTGCCAACATAGATGATGTATTTCTTTTCCTAAGAGAGAGATATATCGCTGCTGTCTGAACAAAACCTCATGTCTCCATTTTTGTCGTTTTTCAGTTTTTGGCATAATTTGAAAATGCCTGTTGCCTTTTAATTGTGCATAATATTTAATGATGAATGGACCTAAAGAAATTGCCCAAAATTACCTGAAAAGAATTAAAAGTAAAGAATTATTATTATCGATGTTGAATGATCTGAATTAGTCAAATGTACTTTCATTAATGTATATTGTTTGAACAATAGCAACACAAATATAGCCAAAATAACATATACCTCATATATAACCCATGTTTACACTGAGAAAGGTAAAAATGAGGATTCCAAGGGGGGCCCACTGAAACATTTGCGCATCAGCAGAGACAGCTCATGTATTAGCTGCTGTTTATGTCTACTTAGTGTCCATTTAAAAAGTAGACTAGAACTGTCTCAGTCTCTTATGGCCTTCCTACCCATGAATAATGAATGACACTGAGTGCGCAACGAGCAAATGCATGAAAGTGCCCTGAGACACTGAACAGGACAAAGCACCTACTAGTGAATTTTATTAGTACAGCTGTAAGTCTTGGTTTGTTACAGCTATTTTCATGGTGCTTTTTCATTAAACCTCTCTTACCACCCAAAGTCAAAACCTATAGATTTTTTCTTATTAAGTGCAAGCTTGAAGGAACTTGGACAAAGTTCTTAAAACCTAAATTGAACCCCCCTCCTCCTCCTCCTCCTCCTCCTCCACAGAATCTGATTATATTTTAGATACAAACAAGTCCCAGCCATCTCACTGTGAATGAGACTTGTGTGTGTTCTTATCAATACAAGTCAGATTTGATGTCTCAGCTTTGCCAGTTCTAATTGTGTTACTGCAACTAATAAGCGTTGGATCCTCCCAGGTGGCCCCAGCAGCAGAAAAACAAGCTCTAATGCCTGTAATATTGGTCATGCATGATCCACTCACATACAGGATTGTATATGTGACAGAGTGACTGTTTGTTGCAATGAGAGATTCCAGGAACTGCAGCAAAATCATTGCACAGTGTGTTTGTAATCCCATTTAGCATAACCCTTTATGAACTTGTAGTTATGAAATAGGAGAACGAATATCAACTGATAATTTCTTCCTAATTAAAAATGAGGTTAAGAACTCAGAACACAACCCAAACACAACTCTAAGAGCCATGCTGAAGCCACAAATGGGCATCAGTCTTTCTATTTCCCTAGTGAATCACAGCGACATAGTGTGATTCCTCTCAAAGATCCTGTGATGGCTTTTATTTTTGTTTTACAATAAAACAGTGAGCAATGTGAATACACTGTTGATTTCTAAGAGGTCACCGGAGTCAACAACCAAAGAGATAATCTCGCTATTACTAAGCTGTTTGCCTAAATTACTGATCCCTCTTCCAGAAGAACTGTCTGAAAAACTGTGAAAATTACAGAATTACATTTTACGTTCTGTGGATAAGCACTGAACATAGTGAAAATTAATGTGCACCTATAAGTCCAACTGATAAAGCTCAAGTTAAGTGATGGACTATTTGGGCACTGAAGTGGGACTTTCTGCTAACAGAATAGCAATGGAGGCATCATAACCAATTCCTACATACACATCCTGGCAGAACACAAAGCAGCTAGGATCCGTATGAGCGCTCCTGATGCTTGATGGACACTGCTATGATATATGATAAATGGTAAAGTGCCCAGTTTTGAATCATAGCAATTTATAAAAATAAGCACTTTGCACCATCACAGACAGAAATAAAAATCATATCAGTTCAGATAACAGTAAATATTAGTGTAAAACTCAGTGCAGTCTACCATCTGAAATAAAACAGCAATTTCAGTTTCTTAAAAATGTATCTAGAATATGTTGTTTGTAAACATTTCATAGCACATTCTCTATAAAAGTGCAGACTTTACCTTCTGTAGTGAAGTATAACACATCCACTTACCAAAAAAAAAAACTACTTAACCAACATCTACTGCTACCTGACTGGCTCTTGATTCTGGAATTTTTTGGAGGTAAATTAAAGTCTTTAGCTGTTGCACAAGTGTTTTTCTAAAAATCTTTTAAGCACTATCTCAGTGGCAACCAGCAACAATGACACATTAGTACCTTTTGCTCACCTCTCTGAAAGCCTCAACCTCTACAGCTGATGGACATAGATATGACAGCACAAACCTCCTAGCCTGAAACAAGTGGTCCATCACATATATCAAAGAAAAAAAATCATAATGACAACACAAAGAAGCAAACTTGCATTAAGGCTGAAATGAAATAAGCTATTACATTTGCAGTACTGTACTTCCACAGCGTTAGTAACATAATATTTTTGCCTGCATTGTGTCTTGTACAGTACAGTACAAGTATAGTCCATGAATGCAAAACATGTGTTATAGGAATTTATTTTATCTTATGACATTTTTCCAAGACTTTTCTGGTGTAACTCTAATACAGAACTCCATTGGAAGGAATTACATATTCCAAACACTTGTAATGCAAAATCTTTCAAGGAAAACCTCTTAGTCTTTACAATAAAATCTTGTATTTACATCGTAAACAGATTGACTTTACTCTATGGCCTTATTTCGAACACATGTATAATACATATCCAGAATAAACTTAATCACTTTGGTAAATAGGTCAGTCTTATCATTTTTAAAACAGCACCCTAAAAACAAATATTTGATTAGGGTGGAACTAAATACTTTACAAAATCAGCATTCAGGTCTCAGATCACATGAAAAACATAAGAAAGTGACAACAGATATAGTTTGCAAATAAAAAACACCAAACTTTGTTAAGCGAGATGAGTTATATTAACTAAACTGTGTCTAGTGTTTTTTTTCCTATGATCAATCAGTCAAAAGGTAATGGTCCTCCTTAAAGGAAATGACTTGTTTACAAATGTCTGCATAGTTCTATATTGGTAATAAAACCGAGATATCTCTTTTTTCTGTTCTTATAATTATTGAGTTCAGTGGTTTGGCAGAGATAATAGAATACTTTGTATATGAATACTTCTGTGTTCCTAAAAAAACAGCATAAAAATAAAGGTGTGGAAAATGTATTCAACCATTACATTATGTCAACAATAATGTCAATAATTATGTCAGTTTCCCTAAACTCATATTTAAACTAAACAAACAGCAATGTCTGCATTCCTGTGAGAATGGATCAACATTCATATTTATGTTAAATAAAATTTCTGGCAAGTTTCTTTAATCTCTGGACATTCATACTTGTTCATGAACATGCAGTAATGTGGACGATAGCATAATCAACAGTTTGGCCATATATTTTTTTAGAGTTTATTATTTTTCCCTTTTCAAGTATGGATGTTGCCTAACAAGTGTGTAAAATGGGCAGGGCACTGCAACTCCTCCTGTGCTGAAATACAAGCAGCTTTAGAACAAGACTGTGTAGTGGATTGGGTGAGGCACAGTCACAGAGGAGAGAAACAGATACAGTACCTGTACACAGCTAGTTCCAGGTAAACGGTAACTCAGGTGAGAGAAATCTTTATGATGTTCTAAAATGTGTTTGTGTTCTGCAGTGGGCATCAGTCTTGCTGAAAGTATGCTGTTGTGAATGCACAGTAGAAATGTATGTCTCTTCTAGAAAGACAGATGGAGTGAGCTGAAAGTAATATTGTCTTTTCTGTGTCTAGAACATTTGGAGACTAGAACAGCACAGCCACACCCTTTTGACAAGAAGCATATATTCATAGACATACATTACTGTGCAAAAGTCTTATGAGAAATTTGTATTTAGAGCTATTATCTGGTTAGTAAACCTTCATTTGCTTGGAAAAACACTAACATCATTTGAAGAATATATACACAATAACCCATTATATTGTGATTTTATGCTTGTCAGTGTGTCAGCTTAATCTTCCCCTCTTTTGGCAAAGGACATAGAGCGCAATTCAAAAGATCCCACAGCACCTCAGAAGCAAATCTCTCCTCAAGGAATCCCAGAATTTGTCATTTCCATGCAATACCCAGTTGAGCAAATCAGTACTTTGTTAAAGTGAACGGAAAGTGGCACAAAAGATTTTGGAGGACATAGACTTCCATTCTGTTGTTAGCTACAATAGCTAAATTACAAAAGCAAACTTTAGACATTTAATATGTCTTGTATGACCGACTGCATTTAGGGTATGGGAAGAACTGGATAAATCTGAAGGGAAAATGGAAGAAATCCATGCAGTGGCTGAAGTGCAGTCAAACTTGTATTCTTCTAACCTCACAAAATATCAATACCTTTTTTGAAAAGATATTCTTGTTACTTTTTATTGTATTAATATTTGTTTGTATATATTTTAGTAATATATAAAACAAATACATTTACTGGCCAGATATAAACAATTTTCCTAGATGGCTTAAAACTGTATATGCATACAGTCACGCATGGACACTTGCAGACACATGCAGAAAGCTTCCCCAAGCTATGCGCTCAAATTTTATCCATAAATCTTCACTAGAGGCTCTCAGATTCCTGTCACAGATGACTGACTTACCCGGATGTTTGCCTTGGAGTGTAGAGCTTAGACAGTGCTCACAAAGTTAATCAAATACTGAGCAAATATCACTCTGCAGAAGAAATCAGTCATGTTCAGTGCAAGTGCATTTATGATTCCTAATCAAATAAATTTCCAATACGTTATTTTGCATCAGCTAAAATGATATTCTATTTTACAGTGAGGTTCAGTTCGGCACACAAAAAGTGTGCAAAAAGTACCTATTTACAGGGATGAATATTAGTTTGCCCAATTTGAATTTTGGTAGTGCTCGTGGTACATTCATGACATTCTTCCATTGGAACACTGTTGTTTTGGACCAAAGTATAAAATGACAAGAATGTTTACTTGAACATGTAACATCATCCATTGCTTTATAACTACAGTTATGCCTTATAGTGGTGGTCACCAACCCTCTTCCTGGAGATCTACCTTCCAGCAGAGATTAGTTTCAACATGCATCTGATCCAGCCAATCAAGGACTTATGAAGATGTTAATGAGCTAGAGCAGGTGTGGCAAATTGCAGTTGGAACTAGACTCTGCAGGAAGGTAGATCATCAGGACCAGGAATGGTGACCACTGCATTATAGTGTACAGCAGGGGTTCCAAATCCCCCATCATGGGGACCTCCTCATGGGCTAGATCTGGTGTGTAGAGTATGGGGTGGCCAGGATTGGGTTTGGGAATCCCTGGTGTACAGAAACTTCTACAGGCATCTCAATTAGTACAACGTGGTGCATCTATGAAATACTTCAATGAAGTGAGGTAATTGCCTTTAGCAAGGAGAACCCCATGATAATGTCTAAGCAGTCTCATAATACAGGGGGGATTAAAATAAGTGGAAGTGCTTTAATGCTTGCCCATTATACCTTATATACTAGTCATGATGGGTCTGAACACTCATGGTTTCACATTTCAAATACATTACTGGATGTATGCACATTGCTGAAGGCTGAGCAAATATGACAGATGCTGGGATAATATGAGGTATTTTAGAAATGCAATGTTGTTAAAGAATCAGACCTATATTTAATTAGTAGGACTCATTACAGCGATGGTTGGCTTACAAATCACTGAAATGATCATCTGTTATTGCTTTGTTTTTACTGTTTTGTTTCTACTCTTTATTAAGTTGCACACAATATCACATACTGAGGTACAACAGCAGGCCTGAACAATTTGTTTTTATTGTTTTGTACATTCTACCTACACACATTTCTCCCACAACAGGAAGCCACTGTGGTAGGCCAATCACTGGCCTTTACTGAACAAGCTGGTCCAGTAATTACCCAACAGCAATTACGCACGTTATGGCTTGCCCACAGGTTAACATAGTTACTGTGTTTTGTGGGTGTGTTTTAAGTGTTCTTGTGCAAAAATATTAATTAGAAAGCATACTAAAAAATAAGATTCTTTGTTTAGTATGTCATGGTTACAGTTATTTTTGGAAAGGAACAATAATATCAAAGATGCTGATAATAACAATCTTTGAAATAACTGATACTGGACAATCAAGTCTCACTTTTCCCCTTTATTCTGCAAGTGGGTCTCTGCTAGTTGTGTAAGCCTATCCTTCAGATCAATAATGCGCTTCACTTTACAGACAGAATTGGAAAGTGGTAGACTGCCTGAATCCTCTGGGAATATTTGCCAGGAAACAGTTTCCAAGTTCCATTAGTCTTGGCCTCCGCTGGTGTGCCAGCACTTTTGTCAGAACACTAACCCAACTTGAAAATAAAAAGACGCAAAATATTATTGGCGAGTAAATTATAACAGTGTCACATAGAAAGCTTTGATGTCCTTTTTTAAGGCTTTGTTAGTACTGCTGCTGTTAAAATTGCTGCCATATGCTAGTAATTTTACCCCAATTTGTAATAATCTCCATAAAATATGAAAAAAACCTATAGTCTATACTGAGTGTTGTGTTCAATAATGAAGTACACATTTGCTTATGCTGCATTTTTAATCTGAAACAGGAGCTGGGCGTAGGCTGAGGGGACCGGAGCAAGAGACAGAGGATGATTCAGTGAGTTCCATTTAAACATAAAACTTCAAATCAGCAAACTTCAAAGGTGCTGGAAAATGTGAAAACTATCATATTTGCTTTCCACAAAAAAGTACATAAAAGTGCATCTTTACCCTTACATAAGAATAATGGTTCAAATGTGGCACCATGTGATACATTTTGTTTTGAACTTTTTGTTAATTAGTTAAATATTTTCATGGACTATTATTGATAGGTATGTGAGGAACCTGAGACTTTAGAAGGGGAACGACCTCGCCCTCAAGGCTCTTCCCCTGTAGAGGAATTCCCAACTGAAAAACAGGTAACCTACTGCAGCTGAAGAACTGTTGACTATTCAAATCTTGGTTCAAAATTAAAAATGTTTTGTTATGTATATATATATATATACATGTTTCTTGTTTTGTCAGGCAGAGGAGGACTCACCACACAAGAGTGCCAGCAACAAAAAAGGCAGAAGACTCGGTTTTGGGTCTTTGTTTGACAAGCGCTCTTCTGCCAAAATGAGTGAAACAGAGGTCAGATGCCCATTTGTTTTGACTTTTTTATTAAATGTAAATTTAAAATCAATTTTAAATTGAAATTGTTAAAAACTACTTGAATAACTCTAAAACATCTTCAAATGTACTTTTAAACATCACAACTAAGTCCTTAATTTTAAGTTAATTGTTTCACAGACCAAACTGATGTTGTAATTATCATTGCAATAACTCATTTGAATTTACAGCCTTTTGTTAGATTAATTACACTATTTTCAGCATAATGTGGCCTGTATGTACCTCACAGAAATGAGAATGAGCTGGCATTAGAGAGCATCATCTCTTGTTTCAGGACATACAAAATGGTGAAGCTGGAGTGATTCTGAAAACAGTGAAAGAAACATGTGCTGAAGGACTAGTAGTGACCGGTGGAGGGAAAGAGGGCATCTTCATTAAAGAAGTGAAACCAGATTCACCTGCTTCAAAACACCTGACAGTGAAAGAGGGTATGCAACATAATTTAGTTACTAGTGATTTAGAAAATAGTATAAAATAAACAAATGTTATTCATGAGAGGCATGTCCAGGTTTCCATTCCTCACTCCTATAACTTTGTAATAACTCAGTTTGTATTGTTTTCCATGTAGTTACTGAAGAGTGTCTTAGAATGTAATAAGCCTGGGAATTTGAGGGGTTAAGAAGAAATTCTTTAACCTAAGCATGTTAGAAAGGATTGCAATCACTAATGTAATTTCAGCCACTAATAATTAATTTAAGTTTTCAACTTCATTTGTATTCCTCCAGGTGATCAGATCCTTAGTGCTACAGTATTCTTTGATAACGTGTCATATGAAGATGCACTCCAAATTCTTGAACATGCTCAGCCATATAAAATGGAATTGTGTCTGAGACGTAAAATGGAATCAACCACGCCAGAAGATGATGAAATTGTCCACCCAGAGGTTATCACTGTAATTACGCAGTTCTTAATTATCATACATTTTTCAAGTTTTTATATGTAAACCGCTTAATATACCTTTCTTTGATGTTCCGTAGGGCAATGAGAGAGGTTCACCAGAGATGAGAAGTCCAAGAAAGAAAAAACAGCAAGACCGTATCTCATGGCCAAAGTTCCCCTCTTTTGGCAAAGGACATAGAGCGCAATTCAAAAGATCCCACAGCACCTCAGAAGCAGAGGAGCACAAAAAATTAGAGATGAGCCCACCAACAAGTGACACAGAATCCCCACTCAAATCACCACTAAAATCTCCAGATGGAAAAGACAAGAAAAAGAAGCAAAAAATCAAACTAAAAATGAAGATGAAAAGCCCCAGGAGCAAGTCTGTTGAGGAATCTCAGAGAAATGAGAAGGAGTTGACATCAGAGAACTTGATAGTTTTGGAAGATGAACAAGTTGGGGATATGTTAGATGAAAAGCTCCCTGAGAAACCTGTGACACAATTAGTAGAGATCGCACAGGACAATAAGGAAGCTGAATATGGGGATTCATCCAAGATTGTGAATGAAGTTCCAAGTTTGTCAGGAATGGAATTACAGCATAAGGTTCATCTTATTAGTCTGAGCAATACATTAAAGACTACAGATATATCAGATGTTCTTGCAGAGGCTTCTGCGGGTGATATGATGATCTCAGAGGAAGGAAAGGTACAAAGATCAGAAATTAAATTTAGCATTCCTCAGAAGGACAAATCAAAAATAGGGGTAGATAGCCAATCCAAAACCATCTTAGAAATGAGCAGAACCCCAGATCCATCTGCACATGACACTATCATGGTGAGTCATGGGGCGATATCACAGGCAGAGAGTGAAACTTCTCAACTTGTCACTGACATCAAAACAGAGGTTATCAGCAAGGACAGTTCCGAGAAAAACTTGGGATCTGGGGATATGAAAATGAGCATGCCCAAACTAGATGTTTCTTTAGATTTGCCAGATATAGGAGTACTGAAACAATCACCAAGGTCTGTCAGTGAAAAGCAGTGGAAGGAAGGAACTATATTTGAAAATGAGATATACGGGATTCGAACCAGAGGTCCATTGGCAGACATAGTCACTTCGAAGTCTCACTTTACTAGTCCAGTAAACGGGCTTCAGTTTACGCCACCAGATTCTTCTGAGATGATAAGAGAGAGCAATATGCCTGAAACCATCACTGTTATTTCCCAACCAGAGCTTAATGACCTCAGTGCAGTTTCTGCCATAGATGCAAAGGACTCACATTTGGAAATAAAAACTTCTAAGCTACCAACAGAGGCAAATATTGATGACATTCTAGTAGGTTTAGATAAAAGATCAGAATCAAAGTTTAAGGTACCAAAGGTTGATCTCACTGGTTGTGTAATCCAAGAACCAACCAAAATGACACATCTCCCAAAACGAGAAGACATTGAGATTCCAGGGATGGAAGATAAAAAATCAAAGCCTAGTCTTCAGACTCCTGAAATTAAGGTACCAAAAATTATAAATATTACTAAGGAGAAAGAAATTAAGGCTCAACGAACAGATGAAGAGTTCAATGTTGAGGATGTTAAAGAAGCTGTTTCCAAATTCCCAGCTTTGAAACTGCCTGAAGGGGACATCACAGGAGTGCTTGTGCAAAGAGAAATCACAATTATGGAAATGAAGGCAGATAAGACTAGCACAACCCCTAGGGGATCTCCTCGTAAAATATCAGGCGCAAGTGATAGTAGCATTACTATAACTAAAAGCAAAATAGGTGAAGAAAAGTCAACAGCTTCTCATAAGGACACAGTAATCAAGATACCAAAAGTTGAACCACTTTATGCTGATGAGCAAACAATAACCATGACCAAGATAGACTACTCAAAGCCAAAAGGTGAAACCCAGCAAACAAAAACTGATAAGCTACTGATTAGAGATGATGGGCAAATAGGAGATGTTAAATTCAAACTCCCAAAAAGAGAAGACATTGAAATCCCCGGGATGGAAGCCATAGAGGAATCAACTGTTCAAAACATAGATATGAAAGTAATCAAAGACCAGCGTCACGCCCCAGGATTACAAGGCATGAGCAGTTCACTTTTAGTTGAACAGCCCAGTGTACAGATTGCTGTACAGTCGGATATTGAAACGAGCAAAATGAAGAAACATGGTGACAAGAAAGGACAGGAAAAGAAATCAAAAAAACCCAAAGTAAGCATGCCAAGCTTTGGGATCACAAAACCTGACATTAGATTCCCAGATGTTGGAATTGAAATACCAAAGAAGGATGTGCCCTCTAAAAAGGACACTGGAGAAATAAGGGAGACAAAATTGAAAGCAGATGTACCTCATAGTGATATCAAGCTCAAAGATGCTTCTCTTCCTGAACACACAGACCTCACACTTTATAGAAAGGAGACCACTAGCTCAATGCCAGATCAGAAAACAACTGATGACTTTAAAATAACTGTTGATAAAAAAACTGAATCAATAAATTTAACAAAATTTGATGATTTCACGGTTAAAGCTCCAAAAGCAGCAGTAGACATTTCTGTTGTCGATGTACAAGACACAAAATTAACTGACATTAAATGCCCTGAGAAAGACAAAGAAGGGGATTCTGTTAATGTGGATATAAAGGCTCAGGATATTAAAACTGAAGGGCAAGGGAGAAAGTTCAAATTGCCAAAATTTGAAATCAGTTTTCCTGAGGTAAAAGCACCAAAAATCAGTGCATCCAAGAAAGAGGGTGATCTTTCCAGAGCAGACAGAAAGACAGAAGTTCCAGCAATGCATGGTGAAATGCCATATGTGCAAATTGAAAAAGAGGCAGATAAACAAGAACTACATTCTAAAGGTCTTGAAATGAAGATACAGAGACCAACCTTTGAGTTCCCCAAGTTTGGATTTTCCAAATCAGAAAGTAAGGAAACAGAAGCTGATATGAGCGTTCCGACAATTGATGTTTCTATACTGGATGGCAGTGCTGCTGGAGCAAACACAGGCATTACAGCTACTGTGTGTGATGCTGGACAAAAAGATGAATCAAAGTTTGGCGCTTCTACAAATATTAAACTCCCTTCAATCAGTGTCTCAAAGTTAGGAGCTAAAACTCCAACAGACATGTCTGCTATGGACATACATGTTAAAGAACATGAGGAAGAATTGAAACTGAAAGCCAAACTACCATCACTTGACGGAGATTTTAAACTACCAGCTAAGCCACTATCAGAACTTGAAAAAAGCGTATGTGACACGCAAGTAAAATTGTCAGCCGAGCCACAATCAGCTGATATAAAAGCACTTGAAATACACAAAGAAGAAGAGACGCTCAGTGTTGATACGAAAGCTCAGGATATTCAAATTGAAGGTCAATCAAGTAAGTTCAAATTGCCAAAATTTGGGATCAGACTTCCGGAAATAAAAAAAACAAAAATAGATTTAAGTGGGGCCAAGACAGAACTTGAGGTTTCTCTACCTGAACGAAAAGCAGAAGTGCCTCCCCAGGATGAAGTGCAAGATGTAAAAACCAGTGCTAAAGCTCATGTACCAGAATTAGATTCTAAAGATTCTGATGTGAAAGCAAAGCAAACAAGCTTTTCATTTCCTAGATTTGGGTATTCGAAGTCAGAAGTGAAGGTCTCAGACACTGATGTCAATCTCCCAGATATTGATGTTTCACTACCAGAAGGAGGTGCAGAACTGGAAAGGACAAATACAAACATTACAGTTTCAATAGTGGACACTGGTGAAAAAGGCGAAACAAAGTCTGGCTATCCAGCAAAATTTAAAATTCCATCAATCACACTCCCAACATTTGGAGCAAAAGCTCCAAGTGAGGCAAAGGACATCTCTGCTGTGGATGCGCAAGCTAAAGGAACAGAGATAAGCCTGAAGGAAACGGAGTTAAAATTGTCAGCCGAGCCACTATCAACTGATAAGAAGGTGCCTGATTTTGAATTACAAGAAAAATCTGTGGCTATGAAAGCTCAAAGCATCCAAAATGAAGGGCAAGGGAGTAAGTTTAAATTGCCAAAATTTGGGATCAACCTTCCTGAAGTAAAAGGACCAAAAATAGGTTCAATAGGATTAAGTGCAGCCAAGACAGAAACTGACATTTCTCTACCGGAGGTAAAGATGGAAGTGCATCCCTCTGATATTGAAGTGCAAGAGGGACAAATTGAAGTGAAAGCCGAAGCGCCAGAGATAAATTCTAAAGGTCTTGAAGTGAAAACAAAGCAATCAAGTTTTTCATTTCCCAAATTTGGATTTTCTAAATCTGACACCAGTGAAGTGATAAAAGTAGGAGGAATCTCCACTGTGGATTTACAAGCGAAAGGATCAGAAATAAGTGTACCAGATGCAGGGTTAAAATTAACAGCTGAGCCACTGTCTGTTGATATAAAGGGGCCTAAAATAGAAAAAGAAGTGAAATCTCTTAGCATTGATATGAAGGCTCAAGACATTCAAATTCCAAGTTCAGCCAAAACAGAGATGGACACTTCTCTACCAGAGGGAAAGATAGAAGTGCATCCACCTGATGCTGAATTGCCAGAAGGAGCATTCAAAGTGAGAGCTGACATACCAGAAATAGACTCTAAAGGTACTGATATTTCATTACCAGAAGAAAATGTAGAAGTGGAAGGACCACACACAGATCTTACATTATCAATGGGTGATACTGGACAAAAAGATGAAACAAAGTTTGATTCTTCAATAAAATTTAGACTTCCTTCAATCACACTCCCAAAATTTGGAACTAAAGCTTCAACGGGGATTGTAGACATTCCTGCTGTGGATGTACAAGCTAAAGGACCAGAAATAAGTCTACCAGAAGCAGAGTTCAAATTTTCTGCTGAGCCACTAATAGTGGATATAAAGGGGCCTGATGTAGAAAAAGAGGAGACATCTCTTAGGGTGGATATGAAGGGTCAAGACATTCAAACTGAAGGACAAGGGATTAAGATCAAATTGCCAAAATTTGGGATCGGCCTTCCTGAAGTAAAAGGACCAAAAATAGATTCAAGAGCAACCAAGACAGAGATTGACATTTCTCTACCAAAGGGAAAGATGGAGGTGCATCCACCTGATGTTGAACTGCTTGAGGGAGATATTGAAGTGAAAGCTGAAATACCAGAAATAGATTCTGAAAGTCTTGAAGTGAAAACAAAGGGCTCAAGCTTTTCATTCCCAAAATTTGGATTTTCTAAATCTGAAGTGAAGGCTCCAAAAGCTGATGCAAGTCTTCCAGTTGTTGATGTTTCATTACCAGAGGGAAATGTAGAACTGGAAGGACCAAAGGCAGACATTACAGTATCAATGGGTGACACTGGACAAAAGGATGAAACAAAGTTCGGCTCTCCAACAAAGTTTAAACTTCCTTCAATCACACTCCCAAAATTTGGTGCTAAAACTTCAAAGGGGGCTGTAGAAATCTCTGCTGTGGATGTGCAAAGGAAAGGATATGACATAAATCTACCAGAAGCAGAGCTAAAATTATCAGCTGAGCCATTGTCTGTTGATATAAAAGGGCCTGATGTAGAACTAGAGAAGTCTCTCAATGTCAATATGAAGACTCAAGACACTGAAATTGAAGAGCAAGGGAGTAAGTTCAAATTGCCAAAATTTGGGATTAGCCTTCCTGAGGTAACAGGACCAAAAGTAGGCTCACATGCAGCCAAGACAGACATTGACATTTCTCTACCAGAAGGAAAGATGGAGGTGTATCCACCTGATGCTAAACTACCAGAAGGAGCCATTGATGTGAAAGCTGACATACCAGAAATAGATTCTAAAGGTCTTGATGTGAAAACAAAGCGACATAGCTTTTCATTCCCAAAATTTGGATTTTCTAAATCTGAAATGAAGGCTCCAAAAGCTGATGCAAGTCTTCCAGTTGTTGATGTTTCATTACCTGAAGGAAAGGTAGAACTGGAAGGACCAAAGGCGGACATTACAGTATCAATGGGTGATAATGAACAAAAGGATGAAACAAAGTTTGGCTCTCCAACGAAATTTAAACTTCCTTCAATCACACTCCCAAAATTTGGAGCTAAAGCTCCAAAGGAAAATCTAGACATTCCTGCTGTGGATGTACAAGCTAAAGGACCGGAAATAAGTCTACCAGAAGCAGAGTTAAAATTGACTGCCAAGCCACTATCAGTGGATATAAAGGGGCCTGATGTAGAACTAGAGAAGTCTCTCAATGTGGATATAAAAGCTCAAGATAATCAAACTGAAAGGCAAGGGATTGAGTTCAAATTGCCAAAATTTGGGATCAGCCTTCCTGAAGTAAAAGGACCAAAAATAGGTGCAAGTGCAGCCAAGACAGAGATTGACATTTCTCTACCAGAGGGAAAAATGGAGGTGCATCCAACTGATCCTAAACTACCAGAAGGAGCCATTGCAGTGAAGGCTGACATACCAGAAATAGATTCTGAAAGTCTTGAAGTGAAAACCAAGGGCTCAAGCTTTTCATTCCCAAAATTTGGATTTTCTAAATCTGAAGTGAAGGCTCCGAAAGCTGATGCAAGTCTTCCAGTTGTTGATGTTTCATTACCAGAGGGAAAAGTAGAACTGGAAGGACCAAAGGCAGACATTACAGTATCAATGGGTGATACTGGACAAAAGGATGAAACAAAGTTTGGCTCACCAACGAAGTTTAAACTTCCTTCAATCACACTCCCAAAATTTGGAGCTAAGGCTCCAAAGGGGACTGTAGACATTCCTGCTGTGGATGTACAAGCTAAAGGACCGGAAATAAGTCTACCAGAAGCAGAATTAAAATTGACTGCCGAGCCAATATCAGTTGATATAAAGGGGCCTGATGTAGAGCTAGAGAAGTCTCTCAATGTGGATATGAAGACTCAAGATATTCAAACTGAAGGGCACGGGATTAAGTTCAAATTGCCAAAATTTGGGATCAGCCTTCCTGAAGTAAAAGGACCAAAAATAAGTTCAAGAGCAGCCAAGACAGAGATTGACATTTCTCTACCAGAGGGAAAGATGGAGGTGCATCCACCTGATGCTAAACTACCAGAAGGAGCCATTGAAGTCAAAGCTGACATACCAGAAATAGATTCTGAAAGTCTTGAAGTGAAAACCAAGGGCTCAAGCTTTTCATTCCCAAAATTTGGATTTTCTAAATCTGAAATGAAGGCTCCAAAAGCTGATGCAGGTCTTACAGTTGTTGATGTTTCATTACCAGAGGGAAAAGTAGAACTGGAAGGACCAAAGGCAGACATTACAGTATCAATGGGTGATACTGGACAAAAGGATGAAACAAAGTTTGGCTCACCAACAAAGTTTAAACTTCCTTCAATCACACTCCCGAAATTTGGAGCTAAAGTTCCAAAGGGAAATGTAGACATTCCTGCTGTGGATGTACAAGCTAAAGGACCAGAAATAAGTCTACCAGAAGCAGAATTAAAATTGACTGCCAAGCCAATATCAGTGGATATAAAAGGGCCTGATGTAGAACTAGAGAAGTCTTTTAATGTGGATATAAAGGCTCAAGATAATCAATCTGAAGGGCAAGGGATTGAGTTCAAATTGCCAAAATTTGGGATCAGCCTTCCTGAAGTAAAAGGACCAAAAATAGGTGCAAGTGCAGCCAAGACAGAGATTGACATTTCTCTACCAGAGGGAAAGATGGAGGTGCATCCACCTGATGCTAAACTACCAGAAGGAGCCATTGAAGTCAAAGCTGACATACCAGAAATAGATTCTGAAAGTCTTGAAGTGAAAACCAAGGGCTCAAGCTTTTCATTCCCTAAATTTGGATTTTCTAAATCTGAAATGAAGGCTCCAAAAGCTGATGCAAGTCTTCCAGTTGTTGATGTTTCATTACCAGAAGGAAAAGTAGAACTGGAAGGACCAAATGCAGACATTACAGTATCAATGGGTGACACTGGACAAAAGGATGAAACAAAGTTTGGCTCACCAACGAAGTTTAAACTTCCTTCAATCACACTCCCAAAATTTGGAGCTAAGGCTCCAAAGGGGACTGTAGAAATCTCTGCTGTGGATGTACAAGCTAAAGGACCGGAAATAAGTCTACCAGAAGCAGAATTAAAATTGACTGCCAAGCCAATATCAGTTGATATAAAGGGCCCTGATGTAGAACTTGAGAAGTCTCTCAGTGTGGATATGAAGACTCAAGACATTCAAACTGAAGGGCACGGGATTAAGTTCAAATTGCCAAAATTTGGGATCAGCCTTCCTGAAGTAAAAGGACCAAAAATAGGTGCAAGTGCAGCCAAGACAGAGATTGACATTTCTCTACCAGAGGGAAAGATGGAGGTGCATCCACCTGATGCTAAACTACCAGAAGGAGCCATTGAAGTCAAAGCTGACATACCAGAAATAGATTCTGAAAGTCTTGAAGTGAAAACAAAGGGCTCAAGCTTTTCATTCCCAAAATTTGGATTTTCTAAATCTGAAATGAAGGCTCCAAAAGCTGATGCAAGTCTTCCAGTTGTTGATGTTTCATTACCAGAGGGAAAAGTAGAACTGGAAGGACCAAACACAGACATTACAGTATCAATGGGTGATACTGGACAAAAGGATGAAACAAAGTTTGGCTCTCCGACAAAATTTAAACTTCCTTCAATCACACTCCCAAAATTTGGAGCTAAGGCTCCAAAAGGGAATGTAGACATTCCTGCTGTGGATGTACAAGCTAAAGGACCAGAAATAAGTCTACCAGAAGCAGAATTAAAATTGACTGCTGAGCCAATATCAGTGGATATAAAGGGGCCTGATGTAGAACTAGAGAAGTCTTTTAATGTGGATATGAAGACTCAAGACATTCAAATTGAAGGGCACGGGATTAAGTTCAAATTGCCAAAATTTGGGATCAGCCTTCCTGAAGTAAAAGGACCAAAAATAGGTGCAAGTGCAGCCAAGACAGAGATTGACATTTCTCTACCAGAGGGAAAGATGGAGGTGCATCCACCTGATGCTAAACTACCAGAAGGAGCCATTGAAGTCAAAGCTGACATACCAGAAATAGATTCTGAAAGTCTTGAAGTGAAAACCAAGGGCTCAAGCTTTTCATTCCCAAAATTTGGATTTTCTAAATCTGAAATGAAAGCTCCAAAAGCTGATGCAAGTCTTCCAGTGGTTGATGTTTCATTACCAGAGGGAAAAGTAGAACTGGAAGGACCAAAGGCAGACATTACAGTATCAATGGGTGATACTGGACAAAAAGATGAAACAAAGTTTGGCTCTCCAACAAAGTTTAAACTTCCATCAATCACACTCCCAAAATTTGGAGCTAAAGTTCCAAAGGGAAATGTAAACATTCCTGCTGTGGATGTACAAGCTAAAGGACCAGAAATAAGTCTACCAGAAGCAGAATTAAAATTGACTGCTGAGCCAATATCAGTTGATATAAAGGGGCCTGATGTAGAACTAGAGAAGTCTCTCAATGTGGATATGAAGGGTCAAGATATTCAAACTGAAGGGCAAGGGATTGAGTTCAAATTGCCAAAATTTGGGATCAGCCTTCCTGAAGTAAAAGGACCAAAAATAGGTTCAAGTGCAGCCAAGACAGAGATTGACATTTCTCTACCAGAGGGAAAGATGGAAGTGCATCCACCTGATGCTAAACTACCAGAAGGAGCCATTGAAGTCAAAGCTGACATACCAGAAATAGATTCTGAAAGTCTTGAAGTGAAAACAAAGGGCTCAAGCTTTTCAATCCCAAAATTTGGATTTTCTAAATCTGAAATGAAGGCTCCAAAAGCTGATGCAAGTCTTCCAGTTGTTGATATTTCATTACCAGAGGGAAAAGTAGAACTGGAAGGACCAAAGGCAGACATTACAGTATCAATGGGTGATACTGGACAAAAGGATGAAACAAAGTTTGGCTCTCCAACAAAGTTTAAACTTCCATCAATCACACTCCCAAAATTTGGAGCTAAAGCTCCAAAGGGGACTGTAGAAATCTCTGCTGTGGATGTGCAAGGTAAGGGATATGATATAAGTCTACCAGAAGCAGAGCTAAAATTATCAGCTGAGCCATTGTCAGTTGATATAAAGGGGCCTGACATAGAACTAAAGGAGAAGACTCTCAGTGTGGATGTGAAGGCTCAAGACATTCAAACTGAAGGGGAAGGGATTAAGTTTAAATTACCAAAATTTGGGATCAGCCTTCCTGAGGTAACAGGACCAAAAGTAGGCTCAAGTGCAGCCAAGGCAGACATTGACATTTCTCTACCAGAAGGAAAGATGGAGGTGTATCCACCTGATGCTAAACTACCAGAAGGAGCCATTGATGTCAAAGCTGACATACCAGAAATAGATTCTAAAGGTCTTGATGTGAAAACAAAGGGCCCAAGCTTTTCATTCCCAAAATTTGGATTTTCTAAATCTGAAATGAAGGCTCCAAAAGCTGATGCAAGTCTTCCAGTTGTTGATGTTTCATTACCAGAAGGAAATGTAGAACTGGAAGGACCGAAAACAGACATCACAGTGTCAACAAATGATACTGAACAAAAGGATAAAACAAAGTTTGGCTCACCAACGAAATTTAAACTTCCTTCAATTACACTCCCAAAATTTGGAGCTAAAGCTCCAAAGGGAAATGTAGACATTCCTGCTGTGGATGTACAAGCTAAAGGACCGGAAATAAGTCTAACAGAAGCAGAGTTAAATTTGACTGCCAAGCCACTATCAGTGGATATAAAGGGGCCTGATGTAGAAAAAGAGGGGAAATCTCTTACAGTGGATATGAAGGGTCAAGATATTCAAACTGAAGGGCAAGAGATTAAGTTCAAATTACCAAAATTTGGGATTGGCCTTCCTGAAGTAAAAGGACCAAAAATAAGTTCAAGTGCAGCCAAGACAGAGATTGACATTTCTCTACCAGAGGGAAAGATGGAAGTGCATCCACCTGATGCTAAACTACCAGAAGGAGCCATTGAAGTCAAAGCTGACATACCAGAAATAGATTCTAAAGGTCTTCATGTGAAAACAAATCGCTCAAGCTTTTCAATCCCAAAATTTGGATTTTCTAAATCTGAAATGAAGGCTCCAAAAGCTGATGCAAGTCTTCCAGTTGTTGATATTTCATTACCAGAGGGAAAAGTAGAACTGGAAGGACCAAACACAGACATTACAGTATCAATGGGTGATACTGGACAAAAGGATGAAACAAAGTTTGGCTCTCCGACAAAATTTAAACTTCCTTCAATCACATTCCCAAAATTTGGAGCTAAAGTTCCAAAGGGAAATGTAGACATTCCTGCTGTGGATGTACAAGCTAAAGGACCGGAAATAAGTCTACCAGAAGCAGAGTTAAAACTGTCAGCTGAGCCACTATCTGTTGATATAAAAGGGCCTGATATAGAACTCGAGAAGTCTCTCGATGTGGATATGAAGGGTCAAGACACTGAAATTGAAGAACAAGGTAGTAAGTTCAAATTGCCAAAATTTGGGATTAGTCTTCCTGAGGTCAAAGGACCAAAAATAAGTTCAAGTGCAGCCAAGACAGAGATTGACATTTCTCTACCAGAGGGAAAAATGGAGGTGCATCCACCTGATGCTAAACTACCAGAAGGAGCCATTGAAGTCAAAGCTGACAAACCAGAAATAGATTCTAAAGGTCTTGATGTGAAAACCAAGCGACCAAGCTTTTCATTCCCAAAATTTGGATTTTCTAAATCTGAAGTGAAGGCTCCAAAAGCTGATGCAAGTCTTCTAGTTGTTGATGTTTCATTACCAGAGGGAAATGTAGAACTGGAAGGACCAAACACAGACATTACAGTATCAATGGGTGATACTGGACAAAAGGATGAAACAAAGTTTGGCTCACCAACAAAATTAAATTTTCCTTCAATTACACTCCCAAAATTTGGAGCTAAAGCTCCAAAAGGGACTGTAGACATTCCTGCTGTGGATGTACAAGCTAAAGGACCGGAAATAAGTCTACCAGATGCAGAGTTAAAATTTTCTGCTGAGCCACTATCAGTTGATATAAAGGGGCCTGATGTAGAAAAAGAGGGGAAATCTCTTAGGGTGGATATGAAGACTCAAGACATTCAAATTGAAGAGGGAGGGAGTAAGTTCAAATTACCAAAATTTGGGATCGGCCTTCCTGAAGTAAAAGGACCAAAAATAAGTTCAAGTGCAGCCAAGACAGAGATTGACATTTCTCTACCAGAGGGAAAGATGGAGGTGCATCCACCTGACGCTAAACAGCCAGTAGGAGCCATTGCAGTGAAGGCTGACATACCAGAAATAGATTCTAGAGGTCTTGAAGTGAAAACAAAGGGCCCAAGCTTTTCATTCCCCAAATTTGGATTTTCTAAATCTGAAATAAAGGATCCAAAAGCTGATGCAAGTCTTCCAGTTGTTGATGTTTCATTAACAGAGGGAAAAGTAGAACTGGAAGGACCAAACACAGACATTACAGTATCAATGGGTGATACTGGACAAAAGGATGAAAGAAAGTTTGGCTCTCCCACAAAGTTTAAACTTCCTTCAATCACACTCCCAAAATTTGGGGCTAAAGCTCCAAAAGGGAAAGTAGACATGCCTGCTGTGGATGTACAAGTCAAAGGACATGATATAAGTCTACCAGAAGCAGAGCTGGAATTATCAGCCGAGCCACTACCAGCTGATGTAATGGTGAGTGATATCAACAAACAGGACATATCTCTCAGTGTTGATATGAAAGCTCAAAACATCCACACTGAAGGGCAAGGAAGTAAGTTCAAGCTGCCAAAATTTGGGATCGGCCTTCCTGAGGTAAAAGGACCAAAAGTAGGTTCAAGGGAGGCCAAGAAAGAGTTGGACATTACTCTACCAGAGGGAAAGATGGAAGTGCATCCACCTGATGTTGAAATCAGTGCAGAAATATCAGTACCTGAAAAAGATATTGAATTAAATGCCCGCGATCAACATCTAAAATTACACGATTCCCAGGCTGAAGTTGAAATTAAAGACACAATTCAAAAACCTCCAGAAACAGCTGTTAAGACTGAACAAGAAGAAAAAGGCTCACCAAGTAAATTCAAACTTCCTACTATCAAAATGTCAAAGATCAGTATTTCAAAAACAAAATCTCAGGATGGAGACAATGATACAGGCATGAGAGTTCATGTTCCAGAGGTCATTTTAGAATCCAAACATAAGAAAGAGACACAAGGACAGGAAAAATCATCCAGATTTACAATGCCAACACTTGGTGATGTTCTCAGGGGCTTTGATGTTGAATTTAATGTGCCCACATTAGATGAAACTGAAAGGGCAAAAACAGAAACAGCTCCTGCGAAGCTGGAATTCAGTCTGCCTTCAGAAGAAGGTGATAAGATAGCAGACTCAGAGGCCAATCTTGAAAACAATGAAAAAAAGATTATGGTTCAGACTGATCAGAAACCAGAGGATGAGGAAAAACAAACAAAACCTGAAAAGAGTAGCTGGTTCAGATTTCCCAAGTTTTCATCTCCTACCAAAACAGCGAAGGTTGTTGAAAAAGAATCTTCTCAGCCACCTAAGGAAACTGAAGAGAGCTCAGTGAATGATAACAAAGAGAAAGAGCCTGAGCTGAGTTCCGCAAGAGGGACTGAAGAGGACAGTCCAACGTTGTCACTGAGATCGTCTGATGCATTTGCTGATGTAAGTTCTGCACAAACATCTGAACAGGTTGGCCTCTCACTGACATCTCCTACAAAAGTCAAAGTGAAATATTCTGAATCAAGTGCAACTGTTGAGATTGGTGACTTACATGGTGATGTTATTACTTCAACAGCCAGGACTGAACTAATAACTATGGAGCCCCACCAGCCAGAGAAAGTAAACATACCATGCTCTTCTGAAATGTCTTCTTCTTCAGTGGATACTATGAGACAGATGTCAGGAGAAATTCACATGATTGTGTCAAATATACAAAATGTACCAAGCACACAACGCACCACAATCATCACAAATGTAGATACACAAGATGTTCAATCCTTGCCTCTAGAGAGAGTAGCAATGCAGTCCGACTCAGTGTTGTCAGTTGAGAACACAAGAGTGCGAAAAGAGAGACACACCGTGGTGGAGAGGCATATTGTAAAAGAAATGTCTGGTGAGGAGAAAGTATTTGTGACAAGGAGAACACAGGTTTTTGAGGGGGACTCTGTGGAGCCTATCTCTGATGACACTGCCTTCTCAATTCAAAAGCTGAGAGACACTGTGCACACTGAGAAAATGAGATTTTTTGAGAGTGCAGAATCAAATGAACAAAATACAATGAGCAATGAAACATCTTTAAAGTATATAGATTCCTCCACAGAAGAGAACGAGGGGAAATGAACTTATGTCATTTAGCTCGCACTAGCAGAATGTGATTCATGGCTGTGCTTTAAAATAAGAACAATTGATATTCCTTTGACTGCATTTATATTCTGTGTACAACTAGATATGTGTGCCCATAATATAAATAAGGGCCAGCTATGACACTTATTTAACAACATAACAAGGCAAAATATGATTAGATAATAATAACCAAACTGTTAATAAAGGAAAATAAGTTTAACTTAGTTTAGTATTCAACACTGAAATATGTACTCTTCTTTGTGGAAATTGTTTACAGTACTGTCATATACAAGAAACACATTGAGATGTTCGTAAAACTATTAACAAGTATTAATGGTAACACTTTGCTGTAGAGCAGTGTTTGTAAGGCTACATGACACCTACAAAAGCTCATCATGAAAACTAAAATAAACCTACATAAACATTAATAAAGGCTTAATCGTATAGGCATCTTTCATTAACGCTGCATTTGTCAATTTTGATGTCAGGTGACTGGATTGGATGGATTTTTTCAGACTTTTCTGTCATGACATTTTTTGGGTGAAGTGACATTGCATCCCATAACATCTGATTTTGTAATTTAGTGTTCATCACAAGGACATAGTGCTGATATGATATAGCTTAAATCTTATACATGGTAAAATGAAACTTACTTTAACTAAGGGGTACAGAAAATGCTCACTTTTATTCAGTCAGCCTGACTTGTTGCTGTAACATACATTGATAGTTTGTCACTTCACTCCAGTGTCATGACACAACCTCATGTCAGAAAAAGAAATCACTGTTACCGTATAGACGTTATGTCAACTTGACATCAAAGCTGACAAATACAACTTTTATAACAAATGATGCCTATTGCAATAAAAGTTTATAAATGTTTATGTAGATCTATGTCAGTTGTCATGAAAAGCTTACGTAGGTGTCATGTAGCCTTACAAACCCTGCCCTACAGCAGTGTTGCCGTATTAATATTATAATAGTATAATATATTGATGCAAATGGTTTGTTTCTCCTGAACTACGCTGTTGTCAAAAACAATATCTAATTTAATGGAAGCTTCTATAATTTTGCATTCCTTAAGGAGATTGAAATGTTTCAAAAATATGTAAATATATTTGGTTCATTTAAGTTCCTTTCTCTGTCCTGTATTACCTTACTGCAAAAGCTGGCACATTCGCTCTTCCAATTAAATTGCTGTATTTACACACAAGTATATGCTGAAATAAATATTTTAAAAATGAAAATGGTTCAGCATTTCTTGTATATTGATTTCTTAGGGGAGCATCCTTTTGGAAACCTGACTTCTTGATTTTGGAAATGTCCGAGAATTGCACCAACCACCTCCTCTTCACATTTTTTTCGGATTCCATATTAACTTCACTAAATACTAGTGAATGAGGACAATTAATCGTTACTGTGACTGTGATTTGGTACATGTACCTAACATTGGACACAAATGTAATGTTTAACTACTGCAAATAAACACCAACGACCATCCAAAATAATACACTTTTGACATACACCTCAGTTTTTGTTCTTGTTTTTTTTCTTTAATGAAATAGCAGAAACACAGGAGCAGACATACCATGGCAAGTGAAAACAATTAATACAATTGATGTATTAAGCTGAAACAATAGCTGTAAGCGTATGTTCATTAATCATATGTTCATTAATCAACATTGTGTACCTAATGGTAGACAAATTGAAAGACTGATTTTAAACAACCAAACATTTTGCTTTAACATTTAATAAAGCCAAATGTGTTCACTTAAAAGAAATGCTAACACACTCTCACACACAGTGTCCAAGCCCAGCAGTAATTAGGCGGAAGGCAGGACACACCCTGGACAGGTCACCAGTCAACAGAAATGCTAACAGAAATGCTAAATGTTTAAGAACTGCACATAGTGTTCACTCATGTAAGTATTAAGTCAACAGCATTATATAATTAACAGAAGTGCAATTGTAATATGCTCTATGTAAGGTCATAATCTTTTTAAGTCACCCATCAAACGAAATATCTCATTTTTACAATCCTCTATTTCATAGTCATAATCTTTGTCATCTTCATTATGACTGCTGCTTTCACTGTTACTTGTTTTATTGCAATCTTGCAGTGCCATGTGGTTGTCAAGGGTAGATGTTTGAGGAAATTGGTTAAACTGCATAAATGAAGTAGACAGGTGTTCTTTCAAAATATGATGACCTTGGTCAGCGTTGACATCTACATTTATTGTGCTAATGGAGTCCGCTGAGCCACCCTCTGAGACGTCAATGTCCTTCACACCAGTGGTATGATTGTAGTAGTGGTCATTTTCTGGGCACTGAATGCTGTTCTGGGTATTTTCAGTAGATGAGTTTCCCTTTGAGAACTTTGAACAAGAAGCAGATGAAGAACAAGAAGCTGAGTCTTCAGTGTCCAAAGCATAGATATGCTCATCAGTAATGAGAGAAACATTTAAGTCTGATGTAACACTGCCAAATTTTATTTGTCTTCCTTGTGGCTGTTCAATAACCTGATTCAGACAAACATTCCCCATGGATTCCAGTAGTTTCTTTTTATGCTTTCGATAAGTCACGGAAAAGGAGGGGCGACTGCATTTGAGTGAAAGTCTCTTTTTTCTGAGTTGTCCTTTTTGCTTCCCTGCGCATCTCTGAACCTTTCTGAGAGATGCATTATTACAGGAAAGGGTGTTTAAACTTGCCAACAAATTCACCAACATTGTATTCAGTCTACTCTCATTTGTTTCAGTATTTGTGGGACATTTTTGTACTGATTTAACATCTGTATCCTCACAGATGTTGAGCTGTCTTTGACCAAGGCATGTTTTTGTTATTTTTCTTGTTTGTGGTTTAGAAGACTGAGAAATTGCACTTGGGTTAAATGAGTAACTGCACATTGCTGGCAGCGGTCTGTCATGATTTTCTTTTCCATATTTGTATTCATGTGTTGTTGATGAAACTGTGGACTGAAAGCATTTAGTTCTGGTTGATCTGTATGTACTACTAGCTGGAGAGAGACTGTGTTCCTCAGCATTATGAGCCATGCTACTGTCATTTCCAGTCACTGTAGTCCTTTGTTGCTCTACTTTTTTATCCAAATTGGTTATTTTCCTTTTGCCAGTCTTTGCCAATGAAGGGGAAAAACATTTGTATTTTTGTGGCAACTCAGGAGTTCTCTTCTCACTTCTTTTTAACTGGACTGACTCACTGGGTTTTCCTTTAGAAGATGACTCTAATGGAGTACTACTGTTGCCTTTGTTCCCTGGGTGCGAATGAGAAAATGATAATCTTCTTTTCAAAAGATCCTGGGTTTCTTGGTGTTCAACCTCAATAGACTGCATAGGTGTACTTTGAAAACATTCACTGAACACATGCTTTCCTTTTCCTACACATGGTGTGTCAAGCAAAGAGACACAACCTGGAGTGAGTGAGTAATCACATAGTACAGGAGCAATTTGGTTGGATTTTAACCCACTTTTAAAGCTGTCTTCAGAACTGAGATCTGCCAGTTCATAATCTTTGACGGTCCAAAGTGTCTCTCTTTCAGATAACGGATGAGATGATTCTGATGAAGGATGAGCAAGATTTAAATGTTGCTTGCTTAAATCCAGAAACATCTTGGGACAGAGATTTTGTTCATACTCACATTTCTTCAGATCTTTCTGTCCTCTTGGATCAATAAATTTGACATCCTGAACGTCTGTCTGCTCCTTCAGAACATTTAACTTAACTTTACACTCATTCAGGTGCTTTAGCTTTGTGTCATGCTTCTCTTTGCTAGCAGATGGTGTTATAGACAAAGCAAGGCAACTAGGAGTGAGTGAGTAATCACACAGTTTAGGAACTATTTGCTTGGACTTCAAACTAGTTTTGAATCTATCTTCTGCCTGATGCAGCTCCTGATCTTGATTCAGGGTTGTCTTCTCCTGTGATTCAAATGAGGTCGCAGGAATGGGAGAGTGTGGAGGATCATTACAGGCATGAGTGTTTAAAGTCAGAGGCCTCTTGAGTTGCACAGTTTCCTCTTGCTCGCCATTCATCAGAAGTTTCTGTTCCATTGGATCTATAAATTTCAGTTCTTGGGAGCTTGCCTCTTGTTTGTTACCAGACTCACTGGACTGCACCAGGCTTACATCAGACATAAACATACAGATATTCGATCCTGTGGCATTGTTGGTTGAAATACTGCTGGCTTCTTGGAAGTTACTAGTTTTATTTTTACCCATGTAGTTGTCCTCAGGAAATGTATAATTATAACTCGCATCCCTGGTGCTAGAAATTGATGTTCTGTGATTATGTGGATCATCACAATGACTACTACAATATTCAGAGTCAGAGGTTTTGTCCAGGGTGCTGATGTAGTCGTGAGAGGCTGACATGTCCAGGTCCAAATCAGAAACAAATGACATGTCCCAGATCACATCAGTAACAGGTGACACATTCATGTTCAAATAAGCATTTGGATGACTTTTAGAGATGTGATCAGAGGACTCTAAAGTATACCTAGATCTCATTATCTCATCTTGTATAACTTGAGTTTGGTGTTGTTCTACCTCAGCTGATTGACACCCTTTGGAATTAACTCCTCGTGAAAAGCAGTAGGCTCCCCCATCTCACTTTCTTGCATTGTGTTACCAGATCTGAATTCGTGGACATTTGATAGCACACTGATATTACATAAAAGTGTGTCATCACCTTGGTCATTGTGGTCGACTGTGTCACTTTGCTTAAAATTTATGATGTCCTCAGAAAATGATTCATTCACTGAGATACTTGAAGTGTCATTTAAATCAGACACACAAGATCTTGAAACGTGTGCAGCCTCTTCTGTTTTGTCATGAGAAGATGAAGAGTAGCGCATGTTTTTTCCAGATTCCTCATTCATTTCACTTGAAAGATTAACAGCATCTTCATCATTGTTTATAACTGTGTTACTTTTATTCAAATGTATTCTGCTCCCAGAAAACGACTTATTTATATAACTGCCATTGGATGAGCTACTACTTCTATCCTCATAATACGTGGATTCTTGCAATAGCTCACTTATTCCATCATTGTCTTCACAACACGTGGTATTACACATAAAGGTAGCTGCACTACACAGGTCGACTGAGTCACCTGTGACTTGACTTTTGCCAGTGACTGAAATGTGGGGTACAGTATTTTCACTGAGATTTACTTCATCGTCTGCTGAGAGGTTGGAGCTGTCACTTGAATCAAATACACAAGGTCTTGAAATGTGTAGATTCTTTCGCCTTGTTCCAGAGAAAGGTGAGGTGTAGCATTTATATTTTCTTGGTAGGCCAGGTGTTCTTGTTTCATGGCTCCGTCTTCTGATTTTGGCTTTTCTGTCAGGTTTCTTGAGAGACACATCTATACAAGACTTTTGTCCTGCGAGATAAGATTCAGCTTCTATTTCCTGCTGGCACATTTTAACAGTCTCAGCAATGTTCACCTTGGCCATGTCCACTTCAAGATCTTCGCTTGTCAACTGAAGTTCCTGGTCTTCTTGATTTAGGGTTGTCTTCTCCTGTGATTCAGATGATGGTGCAGGAATGGGAGATTGTGAAGGGTCATCAGATGGCTGACTGTTTAAATTTTGAGGCCTCTTAGGATGCACAATTTCTTCATGCTCACATTTTTGCTCCCTTGGAACTATGATTTTGATCCTTTGGAAGTTTGCCTCTTCTTTGAGATCAGCAAACTTATCAGACTCAATGGGCTGCACCTGATTTTTACTAGACATAGACATATGAATACTTGATTCTGTGGCACCAGTGTTGGGTGAAATATTGTTGGCTTCTGGTAGAAGACTAGTTTCATTTTTATCTATGCTGTTGTCCTTATGAAAGTTATAACTACCTTCTGTTGGGGTAGAAATCGATGCTTTGTGATTTTGTGAATCACTACAATACTCAAAGTCAGAGGTTGTGTCCATACTCTCCGATGCAGATACGCTGTTATCTGGGGTGCTAATGTACTCATGGTAGACTGGTGTGTTCAAAGGTATATGACTCACAGCAACAGACGACTCATCATTGTCCAAATCAGTAGCAGTTGACACATCCTTGTGTAAATCAGTATTTGGATCATTTTGGAAGATGTGCTCAGAGAATTCTACAGTGTCTCTAGAACTCATTATCTGATCATCTTGTTTCAGCTGTATTTCCTGTTTTCTTGCCTCAGCTGATTTGACACCCATCACATTAGTTTCTTCCTGAAAAACAGTCAGTTCTTCCAATTCAAATTCCCGCATCATATTCATCTCAGATCTGAGTGTGTGGGCATTTGATAGCACACTGATGTTATGTGAAAGGCTGACATGATCTTGGTCACCATCACTGACTGTGTCACTTTCTTCACGTTGCACAATGGTCCCAGAAAATTGTTCATCTGCTGAGATACTGGGACTGACACTTAAATCAGACACACTAGATCTTGAAACGTGTGCAGTCTGTTTTGTTTTGTCAGAGGAAAGTGAAGAGTAACGCATGTGTTTTCCTAGTAGGTCACTCATTTCACTTAAAAGATTGACAGCATCTTCATCACTGTTTCCAACAGTTTCTGACTTCAAATCTATGCCTCCCTCAGGACATGACTTATTTATATAACTGCCATTGGGTGAGCTATAAGATGATGGCTGGCTCATACTTTCAGCATCATAACATGCAGATTCTTGCAATAGTTCAGTTAGTCTGTTGTTGTCTTCACTACACGTGTTATTACACATAAAGACAGATGCACTGCACTGGTTGAGTGAGTCACCCATGACTTCACTTTTGCCAGTGACTGAAATGTGGGGTACAGTATTTTCACTGAGATTTACTTCATCATCTGCTGAGAGGTTGGAGCTGTCACTTGAATCAAATACACAAGGTCTTGAAATGTGTAGAGTCTTTCGCCTTCTTCCAGAGAAAGGTGGGGTGTAGCATTTATATTTTCTTGGTAGGCCAGGTGTTCTTGTTTCATGGCTCCATCTTCTGACTTTGGCTTTTCTGCCACATTTCTTGACAGACACATCTGTACAAATTTGTTGTCTTGCGAAATGAGACTCTGCTTCTATTTCCTGCTGGCACATTTCAGCAGTCTCTTTAATGTGCATCCTTGCCATAGCCACTTCAAGATCTTCACCTTGACTTGCGCTGAGCAGCTGCCCATGATCTGAGATCCCACACACACTTGCAAAACCTACACTATTGAGACCTGCCCCAAAGACCTCAGTGATGTCGAGGTATTTCGCACCTTGTTTCTCAAGCTGTTGTTGAGTAGATGAGACCTGAGTCTCCTGCAGTGTCAGTATTGCTTTCAGCTCATCTTGTGTGAAGCGCCGAAAAGGATTCTTTTCATCTCCTACAACCTGTCTAGTCAGTGAGCCTTTAAACAGCTGTCTTCTGTAAATCATTTCTTCCAATGTGCCACAGGTAATAAGACGGTAAGTCTTAACATCCTTTGTCTGACCAATTCTGTGGGCACGGCCCACAGCCTGTGCATCCTGAGACTGATTCCAGGATAGGTCAGCGAAAACCACACAATCGGCTGCAGTGAGGGTGAACCCCTCTGCACCCACACTAGTGGTAAGCAAAAGGATATTTTTGGACCCCCTTTTTTGAAACTTTCTGATAATTTTGTCTCTCTGGTTACTGTTCTGTCCATCAATCCTCAAAAAAGCATTTCTCCCCCATGATGTCTGTGTCAGAGATTTCTCAATGATGTCAAGGATTTTTATGTAATTAGAGAAGACCAGGACAAAATTCCCATTTGCAGTGAATTTTTCAAGCAGTGCTAACATGAAGGTCAGTTTTCCAGATTCAGCTAAATTCACCCCGCTCATTTCATGTTCCTTGATGTCACTGTTTAACCTCGGGTGTGTACAAACAGCTATCAGAGAATGGACGGACTGAAGCGTCAGAGATGATGAATGATCAATTATCTTGCGATAAGCAGCCTCCTGCTCAGAACTAAGTTTGATCCATATTACATACTCGTTTTTCTTAGGAAGATGTAACACTTGATCAGAGGGTATGTTTTCTAGAAGTGGCTGACCTCTGAGTTCTTGAATTTGGTCTTTTCTTCTCCTGAGCCAACATGGCTCTGTTATCTTCTCCAGAGTCCTTTGGAGTTCCATTCCCAGAGCCCTTTCTTCTGGCCCTGAATCAGCTTCCAACCCCTTCGTAATTGGATTCTCAAATTTGTTCTTGAATGTTTTGTATGTTCCCAGTACGTATGTGTCAGAAATGAGGGAGAACAAAGACCAAAACTCTCTTAGGTTGTTCTGCATAGGTGTGCCAGTGATAAGAATGTAAAAACCAGCTGAGATTAATGCAACAGCTTTGTGAGTTTTGGTGGCAGGGTTTTTGAGCTTGTGAGCTTCATCACAAATCAAGCAGTCCCAGAAAAAATCCATGCCTTTATAAGTTGTGAGTGCCTTGTAATTGTTAATGAACATTCTGTAAGAGACTAAAAGGATGCCACCCATCTTTTGCAAATGCCTCAGCTTTCTTGCAAGTTCTGTGTCACTGCGGTGGTATATAAATACATTCATATTAGGGGTCCACCTTTTCAGCTTATCCTTCCAGTCATTCAGCAAACCAGCAGGCACGATCAACAAGGCATTCTTGAATTCTTGAGTGTTCATGATCATTGCGTGCAAAAACAAGATGACCTGAATAGATTTTCCTAAGCCCATTTCATCCGCTAAAATTGCGCCATTCCGGCTTCCCTTAGCTCTGCTTTTTTCATTTTTGTAAGCTTTGAAAAAAAAAACAATACCCTCACGCTGGTGAGGGTAAAGTTTGTCACATAATTTTTTGTCAGGTAGTAGAGCTTTAAGAACATCTTCAGGTTTTTCCTCTTCCATGTCTTTCTCATTCAGTTTTTCTTTGGATTCCATGTTAACGTGAAGCAGGTTTTACCTTTCAAAGCGTAGAAGTAAAAGTAAAATATATAAACATATATAAACATATAAATGTTTCAGCATTATTTTTCATGTAGTGTACAACATTTTTAGCACAGATAAGGTTTACAGAGTATTGATACAGTATCTCCACAAAACAAGGTTACTTATTTTAATCTGTGTGATTACAAACGGTGTATATGTAAATCTTTGATGAAGACAAAGCCTTGTCTCATCACCGAAGTACAGATTGCACACCCAGTGACTGTGCTGAAAAAAGAGAAATTGAAATTTTAAATGCAATTCATGTATACTTACCTGTGTGGCTATAGGAATGGAGGCGCCAATGAATTCACCTTCTACTAGGTTTGGGGGACCAACATTAATCCTGGAGATGGGGGAAAATGAAAAGAAGCCTGTGAAAAGAAAGAACGTGTTTAAATGTTACATAAAGCTTATACCTAACAGTAAGAGTGTTTTAAAAAGCCATGGTGTTATGCAATGACATGTCTAAAAGATTTTTTAATTGTTTAATGTGTATTTTGCATAGCTAGCCTGGGAAAGGCATGGCCAAGACCCAAATTGAGGGCAGGGTTTAGTGTATAAAAAGGGCTAGGGGAAAATGCACAGGGTTCTCCTTTTGTTTGGTGGTCTCTGCAGCTGAGTGTGAACGTGGGCGCACTGTTCGCCTTTAAACTAAGTAAAGTGACTGCTGAAGAGTTGCCAACATGACAACCAAGTCATTTTCATGAGAGTTTTGATCTGAGAACTGTTTTGACTTCCTGGGATCTGTAAATAGTTTTTTTCTTCACTTTTGTGTCTCAAGTCAAGCTTTGGAGCTTAGCTTGGAGAGATTGGAGTGATTCGTTTGTGGTGAACCTTCCTCTGGTAATCACATCGTCACACAACCTCACAAAATCATATTTTTTTTAAAATAAAGAAATGATTATTTATTTCTTCTCTCATGGAATATTTAGCCCAGAAAAAATGGATAAGATAATACTATACGGCCAAAAGTATGTGGACCCCAATTAGTATTTGGACACTAATTATTGAATTCAGGTGTTCTGTCCACACCTATTGCTAATAGGTGTATAAAATAAAGCACATAGCTATGCAGTCTCCATAGACAAACATTGAGAATAGAGACAGTAGAATGGGTCATATTGAAGAGCACACCACCAATGTACTCTGGAGCAGTGGAATCATCTGCATATGAAACATGGCTGATATAGAATGACATGGCATTATTAGAAAAAAGACAAAGTGTTTGTCACATAAGGTCAATACTAAGCGAAGAAACAAAGTGTATGTAAAAGGTACAAAAATGTTACAGCTGTAATAGAACTCAATGAACTCGGAGTTGCACAAGACGGTAAGACAGATCAGGGGCTGTGTTACTGAAAAATCTTTTTGTCTAGTTAACATCTGACAGGTCAAAATAACATTTTTTTTTAACAAATCTGTATTACAAAAGCAAACTTTATCTTAATTTAGGAATTTTCAGTTCATTATTTCTCCTAATAAACAGCGACACGTTCAACTCTGTTTCCTCATTATTCACCACTATCACTGTAAAGTTTTATCTGATGAGTTTTCATCAACATAAACACACAAAGGTAATAGGAGGGGACGGTGTCTGCAGTACCTGTGATTTTAAAAAAAAGGTTAGAAAATAAAACCTCATAAAGTACTGTTTTCAATGTAGATAAATCTAACGTTGATATGCTAGTGATAGTGAACTATGCTGCCTGTTGCTGAATAAAACGGTAGAAACAGATGGTTTAAACAGCAGCTCAGACACCTCTGGCGTTGTCTTAAAATTAGGACAGTATTTAAGAAAACCTTGTCTAGCTGGGATGTTTCTGTGATAGTGTTTCTTACCAGGAGTAAAGTTTATAAGCTTGAGAGCTGTTGTTCTGTAATAGCTTCTGTCCTAAATTCAGTCCTAACTGAAGCTGTCATGGTGACTAAACAGATAATATAAAATTTCAGAGTTATGACGTTTCTGTAATGCCTGGATCAGACTACACAAATTCAGCCCAATTTTCACAAGATTTTGCCACACCTGACAAATTTCCAGTGTCAGGCCTGGATATAAATGGGTCTTGCAGTGTGACATAATCGAAGAACAGCGAAGTGGTGTCTGGGATGCCCCAAACAAAGCACAGTACAAATTTATGGCACTATGACTGCTTAATCTGACCTAGTGACCACATACAGACAAAACTATCGCATCACCTGAGCCCAGCATAATACGGCCCCAGGTGAGATGAGGTAATAGGTGGGGTTGTCTGTCCCAGAACAGTACAAAGAGAGGTTTGATTCAAATTACAGTTGAAATTCTACACTTTGAGCTCATATTCATTATTTAATTTAAACTCCAACACGTTGTGGTAGACAGCTAAAACAACAATAACTTTGTCAATGTCCAGATATTTATGGACCTGACTGCAGATGTCCACAAACCTCTAACTCCAAAATACACAAGAATCAATACTGTGATCAATACTGTGATTCATAAATTCCATAATTCATACAAATGTGAATTGCAATTCTTGCTCAAACCGTGATGACAACATATCTGAGGTAGCAAAGTTGACAAGTCATAAAAGATTTTAATCTACCTGCAAGCTACAAGCTAAAAGTTATAGTAAAAAAAAAAATGCACCTCTCACCCCAATGTAGTGGTCAGCCAAGTCATGTTTTCTGTCTGAATTTTTCCTTTTAATTTTTGGACTGAAGCTACAAGGCTAACGCATGCCTAAATCATCAGACACTTGCCTCAAACTGCGCTGATTTCAAATACACTTGTGTGGAGGACAGGGGCTTGGATGAGCATCACATGCAGGACGGTGATCCAGACACACTGAAGCAGCGGGCTGAGTAGCTGATGGTGTTCACCTATGTGTTGTTTGGGCCAGCCTATTTATAGGCATGTTTTTCCTCAGTATGCTGTCAGAGAGACGAGAGAAGCAGAGTTTAACTTTGGAAGGGAACTGGAAAGTGAAGGCTGAAGGAATCCTGATTTTGTTTCTAAGCTGAAAGACCTATTCATTTCATTTGTGTGTAAAATAAAAGAGAGCTCTGCATCTCCAAAATCCTGCTTCCCATGCCCTCACTCCCCACAGACAAACAGCTGTTTGTAGCGCTGTTGCCTCACAGCGAAAATGGCCTGGGTTCGATTCCCGGCCGGGCGACCAGGGTCGTTTCTGTGTGGAGTTTGCATGTTCTCCCCGTGTCTGCGTGGGTTTCCTCCGGGTACTCCGGTTTCCTCCCACAGTCCAAAAACATGCAGTTAAGCTAATTGGACATACTGCGATGGACTGGCGACCTGTCCAGGGTGTATCCTGCCTTCTGCCCAATGACAGCTGGGATAGGCTCCAGCACCCCACCGTGACCCAGAAGGATAAGCGGTTTAGATGATGTATGTACACACAGTATATTAGACAGCAGCTAGTTTTATGCATAGTATTTCAAACATTAAAGGGGACTTTAGGTAGAGATTTTAGGGGATTTCACAGTGCCAGTTCAAAACCACACTCTGAACTCATTCTGTCACACCCCAGGACACTGCTTCCTCCATACAGACTTACCCCCACATGAGTTCACAATCTACTGCTTACTGCTTCTTGTACATCAATTGGTCCATAAATAATAAAAAATTCTACAAAGTCTAGTATATTGACTCACAAGAAAATGAAACCAACACTGAAATCGAAACAGACAGAAAAATGTGCTGCATCTTTTAAACTACAAACACTCCTTTAACGGTCCTCAGCTCTCACGAAAACCTACCCTGACATAAATAAATGTGACTTGCTGAAGGGTGATACATTGAACGCGACACAAATGAACCACATAAAAATATTCTGACAATTTTTTCACTGGACTTGACACATTCTCTTTATTTTAGTGTGTTTTATTGTGTCAGGTGGGCTACTTTCCATTTTCGAAAAGAGAAAGTAGCACTGAGAAATTCACTGCACCAATCCAGAGAGACTCAACTTCATGAGTACTTTTGCACGAAGCGCTGATGCCCGTAAGAGATGCTTTGTTTGTCACTAAAACGTCCAACTAAAATGATTTGGCACAAACCACTGGAAACATCACACAGTGAGTAAGTTTAAGTAATGTTACATATACAGAAAAACAAACTCATCAGCATGTTTAAAATCTTTTAATGGCACATAACTCTTCAGTCCACAGTTCACTTTTAACTGTTCTCAAGTACAGGACGAGCATTTACATGCTTAAATATCCAGACTGGTCATAGTTCATGAAACTTTTATTTAAAGTACTCGAGACCTATATACTTGCCATGAATAGGCTTGTAAATTACACACAGTAAATTAAACAGCAGCTAGGTTTATGCATAGTATTTCAAATATTAAAGGGGATTTCACAGTGCCAGTTCAAAACCACACTCTGAACTCATTCTGTCACACCCCAGGACACTGCTTCCTCCATACAGACTTACCCCCACATGAGTTCACAATCTACAGCGCAGTTTTGTCCACAACACAATAGTAAAGTTATGCTTACCTGCGTTTGATGATGGACATGCGTGTATGTGAGATCGTTTGTGTGCGATTGTTCTTGCTCCTGTTTTAAATGCTGCATGTCTGGTATTTCCCTAAAACAAGAAAATGAAACCAACACTGAAATCGAAACAGACAGAAAAATGTGCTGCATCTTTTAAACTACAAACGCTCCTTTAACGGTCCTCAGCTCTCACGAAAACCTACCCTGACATAAATAAATGTGACTTGCTGAAGGGTGATACACTGAACGGTGATACATTGAACGCTCATTCTGTCACACCCCAGGACACTGCTTCCTCCATACAGACTTACCCCCACATGAGTTCACAATCTACTGCTTACTGCTCCTTGTACATCAATTGGTCCATAAATAATAAAAAATTTCTACGAAGTCTAGTACATTGACTCACATTATGCATAGAGTCATAGCACAGGAAACATCTATGGATAAATATGCACAATCTATTTCTTTAACGTGACCTTCCAGAAAAATATCTACTAGCATACCCAATGCATGAATGTTGCTTGTAAATGCACATAAACATAATCTAGTGTTTGTTTACACTCCCTGCAATTTTAGTTAGATGCCTGAGAGCAAATCATACACCAACACATTAAAACTCTTTAATAGAATTACTTGTTCATAACATAGGCCTAGATTACAGTAGTGACACGTCTTACAACAACTCCCCCTTCCCCAAAATCACACTGTCTTAAGGGCTGTTCCATTACTTTATTAGCGCAACTGATGTGTGTTAAATGAGCACTCAGAGGTGTGAAGGTTCAAGGGAACCTAAGGGTCTTCAGCAGCAGAATTCACCCCAGAAATCATTGCAACCTGATGCACTTCCCTGATCAGACCTGCACCGAAAAATGGCGGACAAACTTATTTATAGGCCATAACAATAAAATACTTTAAAATGTTTAATATTTCAAAACCATACCATTCGATTTGCTACGTTCAGATTAGGATTTAGGGAACAAATTACTCCATCTGTTACACATCACTGCTGATACACCTTCATTACTTTATTCTGTTAGCTTGCTAGTTAGCAAGCTAAAGGCGACACAGCTAGAAACAGCAAAAGAGAGAGGCAACACCCACAGTTCTGGCAAGGCCATATTAAAAAAGCATTAAACAGGTCATAAGGTCTATGGAAACAAACATTACAAGAGTAAATAAACTGCATTAAAATAAAAAAGTTCCCTTTATCATAGCTTTTACTTTGGAGTTCATAGTGAGATTAGACAATTACACAAAACATAATAATTATACACCCTCATATAGATTAGTATTGACCACTGGAAAGAATTTTGTTTAAGTAATTACACTAATTTGAAAATGGAAACTTTTTTGTAAATAACAAAACTGTCAGTAGAGGGCAACAATGTTACACTTAGAAATTCTTCCTATCATTTTTTTTAATGCAGTAGTCTCAGACTCAGGGGAGCTATTAAGTCAGATGTCCACAACATAACATGATGAACATAATCATCTCATTCATTATTTCTTGGTCACAAATGTGGCCCAACCTTCTGATCTGCTACAGAGAGAGAGAGAGAGGGTGAGACAGAGAGAGAGTGAGTTTTGTCGAACAGCAACCTGAAGATGGCATAAGCCTCAACAGCTCATTTTACTGGCGTGTGGGTTCTGAAAAGGCATTTTGCAGTTGCACCTCCTAGACCAACAGACTACAGAACCCTCTCATGGTACTCCAAGGTAGTTTATAAAAACCAAAAACAACAGATATGGGTTGATACTGTGCATGTGTGTTGAGGTGTGTGTGTATGTGTACTATTTAATTACTATTCATTTACCTCTTCACGAAAAAGCAGATATGTAATGAGAGAATGAAGCTTAGGGTCCAATGTTAAGAAACGGCACAGCCCATTGGGGGGTGGGGCGTGGTCAAAATTGCATTACACATGTTTCTGACAAGACAGTGGAAACATATTTCATTGTTTAGTATTACAGCACCTCACTAGGTGTACACCTTAAGAATATTCTCAGCCTTCTGTCGTTATCTTCATTAAAGTTTTTCAGTTTTTGACATGATTTGAAAATGCCTGTTGCCTTTACATTATGTATAAATTTCATGATGAATGGACCAAAAGAAATGGTCCGAAATTACTTGGAAAAAGTCTGGTTCCATTTACTTACATTAAAAGTAAAGTAGGTTTTTACTTTTTCGTATTTTTGGAGCAGCGATAAGTACAAACTGAAAAAGAAGCAGGTCTGCCAGAACTAAACTCTAAAAGTGTTGAAATGAAAATACAGAGACCAACATTTCAGTTCCCCAAGTTTGGATTTTCCAAATCAGAAAGTAAGAAAAAAAAAGCTGATATGAGCGTTCCGGCAATCGACCTTTCTGTACTGGAGGGCAGTACTGATGGAGCAAACGCAGACATTACAGCTACTGTGTGTGATGCTGCACAAAAAGATGAATCAAATTAGGAGCTGCAACTTCAAGACATTTCTGCTGTGGAGGTACATGTTAAAGGACATGAGGAAGAATTGAAACTGAAAGCCAAATCACCATCACTTGACGGAGATTTAAAACTATCGACTAAGTCACCATCAAATCCTGAAAAAAGTGTACGTGACACACAAGTAAAATTGTCAGCCGAGCCACAATCAGCTGATATAAAGGCACTTAAAACACACAAAGAAGAAGAAACGCTCATTGTTGATATGAAAGCACAGGACATTCAAATTAAAGGTCAATGTTCAAATTGCCAAAATTTGGGATCAGACTTTCTGAAAAAAAAACCCACCAAAAATAGAGTGGGGCCAAGATAGAACTTAGGATTTCTCTACCAGAATGAAAAAATGTTAAAGCTAACGTACCAGAATTAGATTTTAAAGGTGATTCTGATGTGAAAGCAAAGCAAACAAGCTTTTCATTTCCTAGATTTGTGTGAAGGTCTCAAACACTGATGCCAATCTCCCAAATATTGATGTTTCAGTACCAGAAGGAGGTGTAAAGGGAAATGACAAATAGTGGACAAGCAGTTTAAATAGGGGATGCTGGTAAAAAAGATAAAACAAAGTCCGGCTCTTCGGCAAAGTTTAAAATTTCTTTCATGACACTCCCAAAATTTGGAGCAAAACCTCCAAATGAGGGGACATCTCTGCTGTGGATGCACAAGCTAAAGAAACAGAGTGAAAATTGTCAGCCGAGCCACTATCAGATGATATGAAGGTGCCTGATGTAGAACTACATCATAATTCTGTCTATGTGGATATTAAAGGTCAAAGCATCCAAACTGATGGGCAAGGGAGTAAGTTCAAATTGCCAGAATTTGGGATCAGCCTCCCAAAAGTGGTAAAATGACCAAAAGTAGGTTCAAGGGAGGCCAAAAAAAAAGATGGACATTTCTCTACCAGAGGGAAAGATGGAAGTGCATCCACCTGATGTTGAAACAAGTGCAGAAATATCAGTACCTGAAAAAGATACTGAATTAAATGCCTGCGACAAACATGTGAAATAAAATGATTTCCAGGCTGAAGTTCAAATTAAAGACACAATTCAAAAACCTCCAGAAACAGCTATTAAAAATTAACAAGGACACACAAGGACAGGAATCATCCAGATTTACAATGCCAACAAGTTGAATATAAAATGCCCACATTAGATGAAACTGAAAAGGCAAAAATAGAAACAGCTCCTGCAGCAAAGTTTGTCAAAAAAGAATCTTCTCAGCCACCTAAGAAAACTGAAGAGTTCATTAAATGACAACAAAGAGAAAGAGCCTGAGCTGAGTTCCACAAGAGAGAATAAAGAGGACAGTGTCAGCCCAACATTGTTACTGAGATCGTCTGATGCATTTGCTGATGCAAGTTCTGCACAAACAACTAAACAGGCTGGCCTCTCACTGACATCTCCTACAAAAATCAAAGTGAAATATTGTGAATCAAGCGCAACAGTTGAGATTGGTGACTTACATTGTGATGTTATTACTTCAACAGCCAGGACTGAACCAATAACCATGGAGCCCCTTTTGCATTCCTTAAAGAGATTTAAGTTTCAAAAACATAAATATATCTGGTTCATTTAAGTTCTTTTCTCTGTCCTGTATTACCTTATTGCAAAACCTTTGTGTCAGAACCTACCTCTCCTCTTCTAATTAAATTGCTGTATTTACACACAAGTATATGCTAAAATAAATATTTTAAAAATGAAAATAGTTCAGCATTTCTTGTATATTGATTTCTTAGGGGAGCATCCTTTTGGAAACCTGACGTCTTGATTTTGGAAATGATTTTATCATGCTCACATTTTCTGTGAATTGCACCAACCATCTCCTCTTCACATTTTTTTAGGATGCCATATCAACTTCACTAAATACTAGTAAATGAGGACAAATAATCGTTACTGTGATTGGCCACAAATGTAGTGTATAACTATTGCAAATAAACACTTCAGTTTTTGTTTTTGTTTTTCTTTAATGAAATAGCAGAAACACAGGAGGAGACATCCCATGGCAAGTGAAAACAATTAATACAATTGATGTATTAAGCTGAAACAATAGCTGTAAGCGTATGTTCATTAATCATATGTTCATTAAGCAACATTGTGTAAATAATGGTAGACAAATCGAAAGACAGTGATTTTGAACAGCCAAACATTTTGCTTTAACATTTAATAAAGCCAAACATGTTTACTTAAAAGAAATGCTAACAGAAATGCTAAATGTTTAAGGACTTTACATAGTGTTCGCTCATGGAAGTATTAAGTCAACAACATTATATAATTAACTGAAGTACAAGTGTAATATACTGTATGTCAGTTCAATCATTTAGCAGTAATCAAGTCTTAGCCTTGATATAATAACAAAACAACCTGAGCCAACCTTAAAGAATCATAATCTTTTTAAGTCGTCCATCAAAGGGAGTATTTTATTTTTACAATCCTCTATTTTACAGTCATGATTTTTGTCATCTTCATCTTTATTTTCTGGGCACTGAATGCTGTTCTGGGTATTTTTCAGGAGGTTAGATTCCCTTTGAGAACTTCGAACAAGAAGCAGATGAAGAACGAGAAGCTGAGTCTTCAGTGTCCAAAGCATAGATATGCTCATCAGTAATGAGAGAAACATTTAAGTCTGATGTGACACCGTCAAATTTTAACTGTCTTCTATGTGGCTGTTCAATAACCTGACTCAGACAAATATTCCCCATGGATTCCAGTAGTTTCTTTTTATGCTTTCGATAAGTCACGGAAAAGGAGGGGCGACTGCATTTGAGTGAAAGTCTCTTTTTTCTGAGTTGTCCTTTTTGCTTCCTTGCACGTCTCCGACCCTTTCTGAGAGCTGCATTATTACAGGAAAGGGTGTTAAAACTTGCCAACAAATTCACCAACATTGTATTCAGTCTACTCTCATTTGTATCAGTATTTGTGGGACATTTTTGTACTGATTTAACATCTGTATCCTCACAGATGTTGAGCTGTCTTTGACCAAGGCATGTTTGCGTTATTTTTCTTGTTTGTGGTTTAGAAGACTGAGAAACTGCACTTGGGTTAAATGAGTAACTGCACATTGCTGGCAGCGTTCTGTCATGATTTTCTTTTCCATATTTGTATTCATGTGTTGTTGATGAAACTGTGGACTGAAAGCATTTAGTTCTGGTTGATCTGTATGTACTACTAGCTGGAGAGAGACTGTGTTCTTCAGCATTATGAGCCATCCTACTGTCATTTCCAGTCACTGTAGTCCTTTGTCGCTCTACTTTTTTATCCAAATTGGTTATTTTCCTTTTGCCAGTCTTTGCCAATGAAGGGGAAAAACATTTGTATTTTTGTGGCAACTCAGGAGTTCTCTTCTCACTTCTTTTCAACTGGCCTGACTCACTGGGTTTTCCTTTAGAAGATGACTCCAATGGAGTACTACTGTTGCCTTTGTTCCCTGGGTGCAAATGAGAAAATGATAATCTTCTTTTCAAACGATCCTGGGTTTCTTGGTGTTCAACCTCAATAGACTGCATAGGTGTACTTTGAAAACATTCACTGAGCACATGCTTTCCTTTTTCTACAGATGGTGTGTCAAGCAAAGAGTCACAATCTGGAGTGAGTGAGTAATCACATAGTACAGGAGCAATTTGGTTGGATTTTAACCCACTTTTAAAGCTGTCTTCAGAACTGAGATCTGCCAGTTCATAATCTTTGACAGCCCAAAGCGTCTCTCTTTCAGATAACGGGTGAGATGATTCTGATGAGCATTGAGCAAGGTTTAAGTTTGGCTTGCTTAAATCCAGAGAACTCTTAGGATACAGTATTTGTCCATGTCCACATTTCTTCAGATCTTTGTGTCCACTTGGGTCAATAAATTCGAAATCCTGAACGTCTGTCTGCTCCTTCAGAATGTTTAACTCACTGCATTCATTCAGCTGCTTTAGCTTTGTGTCATGTTTCCCTTTGACAGCAGATGGTGTTATAGACAAAGCAAGGCAACTAGGAGTGAGTGAGTAATCACACAGTTTAGGAACTATTTGCTTGGACTTCAAACTAGTTTTGAATCTATCTTCTGCCTGATGCAACTCCTGATCTTGATTCAGGGTTGTCTTCTCCTGTGATTCAGATGAGGTCGCAGGAATGGGAGAGTGTGGAGGATCATTACAGCCATGAGTGTTTGAACTCAGAGGCCTCTTGAGTTGCACAGTTTCCTCTTGCTCGCCATTCATCAGAAGTTTCTGTTCCATTGGATCTATAAATTTCAGTTCTTGGGAGCTTGCCTCTTGTTTGTTACCAGACTCACTGGACTGCACCAGGCTTACATCAGACATAAACATACAGATATTCGATCCTGTGGCATTGTTGGTTGAAATACTGCTGGCTTCTTGGAAGTTACTAGTTTTATTTTTACCCATGTAGTTGTCCTCAGGAAATGTATAATTATAACTCACATTCCTGGTGCTAGAAATTGATGTTCTGTGATTATGTGTATCACCGCTACAATATTCAGAGTCAGAGGTTTTGTCCAGGGTGCTGATGTAGTCGTGAAAGGCTAACATGTCCAGGCCCAAATCAGTAACAAATGACATGTTCTTGATCACATCAGTAGAGGTGACAACAATTCATGTCCAAATCAGCATTTGGATGACTTTTAGAGATGTGATCAGAGAACTCTAGAGTGTACCTAGATCTCATTATCTGATCATCTTGTTTCAGCTGTATTTCCTGTTTTCTTGCCTCAGCTGATTTGACACCCATCACATTAGTTTCTTCCAGAAAAGCAGTCAGTTCTTCCAATTCAAATTCCTGCATCATATTCATCTCAGATATGAGTGTATGGGCATTTGATAGCAAAGTGATGTTATGTGAAAGGCTGACATCATCTTGGTCACTGTAGCTGACTGTGTCACTTTCTTCACGTTGCACAATGGTCCCAGAAAATTGTTCATCTGCTGAGATACTGGGATTGTCACTTAAATCAGACACACAAGATCTTGAAACGTGTGCAGTCTGTTTTGTTTTGTCAGAGGAAAGTGAAGAGTAACGCATGTTTTTTCCTAGTAGGTCACTCATTTCACTTAAAAGATTGACAGCATCTTCATCACTGTTTCCAACAGTTTCTGACTTCAAATCTATGCCTCCCCAGGACATGACTTATTTATATAACTGCCATTGGGTGAGCTATAAGATGATGGCTGGCTCATACTTTCAGCATCATAACATGAAGATTCTTGCAATAGTTCAGTTAGTCTGTTGTTGTCTTCACTACACGTGTTATTACACATAAAGACAGATGCACTGCACTGGTTGAGTGAGTCACCCATGACTTGACTTTTGCCAGTGACTGAAATGTGGGGTACAGCATTTTCACTGGGATTTACTTCATCATCTGCTGAGAGGTTGGAGCTGTCACTTGAATCAAATACACAAGGTCTTGAAATGTGTAGATTCTTTCGCCTTCTGCCAGAGAAAGGTGGGGTGTAGCATTTATATTTTCTTGGTAGGCCAGGTGTTCTTGTTTCATGTCTCCATCTTCTGATTTTGTTTTTTCTGCCACATTTCTTGACAGACACATCTGTACAAATTTGTTGTCTTGTAAGATGAGACTCTGCTTCTATTTCCTGCTGGCACATTTCAGCAGTCTCTTTAATGTGCATCCTTGCCATAGCCACTTCAAGATCTTCACCTTGACTTGCGCTGAGCAGCTGCCCATGATCTGAGATCCCACACACACTTGCGGCACCAACACTATTGAGACCTGCCCCAAAGACCTCAGTGACGTCAAGGTATTTCGCACCTTGTTTCTCAAGCTGTTGTTGAGTAGATGAGAACTGAGTCTCCTGCAGTGTCAGTATTCCTTTCAACTCATCTTGTGTGAAGAACCGAAAAGGATTATTTTCATCTCCCACAACCTGTCTAGTCAGTGAGCGCTTCTGCCTTCTGTAGATCCTTTCTTCCAATGTGCCACAGGTAATAAGACGGTAAGTCTTAACATCCTTTGTCTGACCAATTCTGTGGGCACGGCCCACAGCCTGTGCATCCTGAGACTGATTCCAGGAGAGGTCAGCAAAAACCACACAATCGGCTGCTGTGAGCGTCAGGCCTTCTGCACCCACACTAGTGGTAAGCAAAAGGATATTTTTTGACTCCCTTTTTTGAAACTCTCTGACAATTTTGTCTCTCAAACCCTGAGTAGTGTTCTGTCCGTCAATCCTCAAAAAAGCATTTCTCCCCCATGATGTCTGTGTCAGAGATTTCTCAATGATGTCAAGGATTTTTATGTAATTAGAGAAGACCAGGGCAAAATTCCCATTGGTAGCGAACCATTCAAGCAGTGCTAACATGAAGGTCAGTTTTCCGGATTCAGCTAAATTCACCCCGCTCATTTCATGTTCCTTGATGTCACTGTTTAACTTTGGGTGTGTACAAACAGCTGTCAGAAGATGGAAGGACTCAAATGTCGGAGTAGATGAATCAGCAGTTATCTTGCGATAAGCAGCCTTCTGCTCAGAACTAAGCTTGATCCATATAACATACTCATTTTTCTTAGGAAGATGTAACACTTGATCAGAGGGTATGTTTTCTAGAAGTGGATGACCTCTGAGTCCTTGAATTTGGTCTATTCTTCTCCTGAGCCAGAATGGCTCTCTTATCTTCTCCAGAGTCTTTTGGAGTTCCATTCCCAGAGCCCTTTCTTCTGGCCCTGATTCAGCTTCCATCCCTTTTGTGATTGGTTTCTCAAATTTGTTCTTGAATGTTTTGTATGTTCCCAGTACATATGTGTCTAAAATGAGGGAGAACAAAGACCAAAACTCTCTTAGGTTGTTCTGCATAGGTGTGCCAGTGATGAGAATGCAAAATCCAGCTGAGGTTAATGCAACAGCTTTGTGAGTTTTGGTGTCAAGGTTTTTGAGCTTGTGAGCTTCATCACAAATCAAGCAGTCCCAGACAAAATGCATGCCTTCATAAGTTGTGAGTGTCTCGTTATTTTCAATGAACGTTGAGTAAGAGACTAAAATGATGCCACCAGTCTTCTGCAAATTCCTCAGCTTTCTTTCACGTTCTGTCTCACTGTGGTGGTAAATGAGAACGTTCATGTTAGGGGTCCACCTTTTCAGCTTATCCTTCCAGTCATTCAGCAAACCAGCAGGCACAATCAACAAGGCATTCTTGAATTCTTGAGTGTTCATGATCATTGCGTGCAAAAACAAGATGACCTGAATAGATTTTCCTAAGCCCATTTCATCTGCTAAAATAGCGCCATTCCTGCTTCCTTTAGCTTTGCTTTTTCCGTTTTTGTATAGGTTGAAAAGGAACAAAATTCCCTCGCGCTGGTGAGGATAAAGTCTGCAAAGCAAATTTTTGTCGGGTAATAGAACTTCAAGAACATCTTCTGGTTTTTCCTTTTCCAGGTCTTTCTCGTTCCGTTTTTCACTGCCTTCCATGGTAACCTGAAGCAGGTTGTACCTTTCAAAGGATGGAAGAATGAAATCATATAAATGTCTCAGCAATGTTATTCATTTAGTGCAAAACATTAGCACATATACAGTTTATGTTGTATTCTTGTAGTATCTTCACAAACCAGGTTACTTTTTTTGATCTGTAAAATTGCAAATGGTATAAAAAACAAATGATCATTCGTTCCTTCTTTCTTGGAATATTTAGCCAAGACTACACTAAATGGCAAAAAGTGTGTGGACGCCTCTTCTAATAACTGAGTTTGGGTGTTTCAGCCACACCCATTTCTATCAAGTGTATAAAATCAATTCTCTAGTGTGATGAACCGTGCTTCACTATCTGACATTCTGATGGACAAATCAGGGTTTGGCAGTTGCCAGCAGAACACTACCTACCAGAATGCATAGTGTGAACAGTAAAGTTTGGTGGAGGAGGGATAATGGTCTGGGACTGTTTTTCAGGGTTTGGGCTCGGCCCCTTCTAGTGAAGGATAATGTTAACACTACAAATAAAAGCATACAAAGACATTTCAGACAACTATATGCATCCAACTTTGTGCCAACAGTTTTGGAAAGGCTTTTTTGTGTTTCAGCATGGCTGTCCCCCTGCAAAAAGCAAGGTCCACAAAGACATGGTTTCATGAGTTTGGTGTGGAGGAACTCCGGTTGGCTGCAGACAGCCCTGACTTCAACCCCAACGAACACTTTACGGATGAACTGGAATGTCAATTTTGAGCCAGGCCTTCTTGTCAAACATCAGTGCCTGACCTCACAAAAGCTCTTTTGACTGAATGAGCATACATTCCTTTCCCAGAAGAATGGAGGCTGTTATAGCTGTAAAGGAGGGGCCAGCTCCATATTAATGCCCATGGTTTTGGAATGGGACAACCAAACAGCTCATATACAGTCAAGCCCATAAATAACTGGACGTGGATAAGGTTAATCTTATTTATCTGTCTACGACAGCATAATGAAGTTGAAATTAAACAATATATATAAACTCAAAGTGCAGGCGTTCAACTTCAATTTGAGGGAATTACATACAAATGAACGATGTAGGAATTACAACTATTTTCATACATAGCTCCCAACCCATTTTTAGGGGCTCAAAAGTATTTGGACAAACTAGCATAGCCGTACATTAAATTGTCATTTTTAATACTTGGTTGAAAATCTTTCAGAGTCAATGACTGCCTGAAGTATGGTCATGTCTATGGATTCTTTCTGGAACCCATAGACACCACTAAAAGCTGAGTTTCTTCCCTGCACTGTAAAAAGTGGGACTGGGGTTAATTAATATTTACTAAATAACTGATAGTCACCTCTACATAATAAAAAAAGACTATGTTCAGTTAGAAATCAAACTGAGCTGAATCCAATAAATTTGAATGATTTATTAAGTGCATTTTACACAGCTTTGGTTGAATAAAATTAGCTGTGATACACTGAGCAGAATTGACTTATGTTTTATCAGGAACAACAACAATGCAGAAAATGGATAGATTTTACTCATTGGGAAGTCATTGGTTTTATTCACCTCACACTTCTGCCCAATGCATTTTGTACCTCATGGACACCAGTAACTACACGTTTCAGGGGTTGCAGTCCTCCAACTTCCCAAAGATAAGACCTTTTTAATTTTTGCTAGGAAACAAACAATTTCCAAGTAGGTTGCTGTAGCAGTTGCCCATTCTTTTAAGTTACTGCAGCTTAGCAAACATTTCCTAAGCTAGCAGCTATCTAATTCATTTTAGTTTTGATTAGCATACAAGTATGACATGGACTTAAATTACAGATTTTGCTGTTGAGGTACGGATAGAGGTGAGGGTCTCTGATGTGTCGGCAAAAAACATACGGGAAGATTCCACCCGTATTGAGGAGAGCAGATTACACCCGTATTGAGCTCCGAGCCGTCACCGGCGTTTCGCCGCGGAGGCGACAACCGCACGCCTAGAGCCGCTTCTGGAAACTTTCAAAGGATTCAAAATGCGTTTGGTGAATAAGTTATTTGTTTATTTGATGTAGCAGCAGTTTTAATCACTGAGGTGATTAAAACATTGCTGTATCTGATACACGAGTACCACACTTACTATGTCAGTGTCACTGCAGTGCTGAGAATTAAACAATAATACCTGCTTTGTGGTGGTTTTAATGGACCTGATTCAATAGAAAAGTAAGTAAATACAAGGCAGCTTTACCTAATAAAGTGGCCAATATGTGCATACATATAATCAAGCACAATGATATCATTTAATTTGTATTTTTTGTTAACACCGTTGTAGCTGTTACCTGCTATTCCATTCAGTATGTCTGAATTCTGTATCTATTTTGCTTAGGCAGTATGTAGTGGCTTAATATATGCTAATTCTTTTCATGATCTTTATTCATTCCACCATGGATTATCCTTTATATATATGGACGCATGCTGTTTTTTACAGCATCTCAGCACTGCTTTGTGAGTATCCTGGACATTGTATTGAATCATGTAAGAAAAGTTTCTTAAAGTTCATCAAAATAGTCTGTACTTTGGATTTTAATGAGTGTTATTTGTTATTTCCTCTGTAATTTATCATTGGCAGTTGTTGATCGTTAAATCTCTTCTAACTAATTGTAATTCCTATGCAATGAAATGAACTGCAATGAAATTCTGGCAGCTACAGCTGCTGGTAATTTACTGTAAAGTTCAACTTTGCAATAAAATACTGTAATGTGTCATACGGTTGTACTGTGTTTATCACCGATAGACTATAATTATGTTAACAGTATATCTGTTGTTTTTAAAATAATGTACTGTATACAGATTTACAATATATGCTTTTTTTCACAGTAATTAACCGTAAACAAACAACAGTTCTCAACAGTGAAATTTATGGTTGCCAAAAAAGCATACTGTAAGGTCTCATACCTTGCCACTATATTTTTACGGTGAAGTTCTGGCAACCACAGCTGTAGTAAAGTCTAGTAAATATAAACCAGTTTTCCCCAGATATTTATGTAAATACATTTTCCCCAGATATTGAGTAAATATAAAGTAATTTTGCTCAGACACTTGGTAGATATTACTAAATTTTCCTTGTTAAATTAATTTGTTCTACATTAACTCATAATGTGGCATACTATTACTAAATACAACACATTTTAACTGTTGCTTTTATTAATATTTACTTAATTTTTTTGCTTAAATGTAGTTCACTTATTTAATGCATTTTAGTCAAAGTTTAGGTAATTAAAATCTACTCAGTTTTATTGTCACTTGTTGCCATATTTTTTTTTATTGGTCACATTTTTTACAGTGTGGTGATGCTCTGGCAGACTACTACTGCAGCTGTCTTCAGTTCCTGCTTGTTCTTGGGGCGATTCACCTGCTGTTTTGCATTCAGTAAGTGAAATGGATGCATGACTGGGATCAGGTGTTTGACCTGGACATTACAGAACATTTCATATCTGTTCCAGAAACTCCCCTTAGGAAAACAGTACTGCTCAATTAAAACCTGAACCATGGAACACTTAAACACCTTTTTCCTAGAGGTGGTTACCCTTCTCAGTGAGCCAACAAATGATATGCAGGACTAACCTTACCCTTAACCTTGTATATAGACTTGCATTTGTACTGTATTTATTGTAAGTTTGCAATGTTGTGAATTCTGCATGTCCTATATGCTTGTGCTGACCTACCAAGTTATATTCCTGGGTAATCTGTACATCTGGTGAATAGAATAATTCTGATTCTGATACTTTCACCTTAAAAAAAATCATGGGTTGCTTTTGCAGTATGCTTCGGGTCACTGTGGATCTGCACTGTGAAGCACCATCTACTGAGTTTTGAAGCCTTTGGCTGAATCTAAGCAGATAATCTAGCCCTATATTCATCTCGGTGCTTTTGTCAGCTATCACATCAATAAATACAAGGGAACCATTCCACTCGCAGGCATACTCTTCTCTTCTTATCATCCTGATACAAGTCTAATCTGTCCATAAGATGTTGTTCCAGAACTGTACAGTTTTTGTGATGGACTGGTTTCCACATACCTTTGGCCATTTAGTGTAGTTCTATAATTTGAAAAATAAAATATGCACACCAACTCTAAAATACACAAAAATCACCGGTACTTGGGGAGAAATACTTTTTTCTTAACCTGATTCAATGAAAACAACGTCATATTAATATGAATTACAGTTCTTATTCAAACAGTCTATCCCTAATAATTCTAGAATGCCACATTCTAGCATCTGCTAAGAATCAGAAGATTCCTGTTCACTCACCAGGTAGTTCCTGATAACTCTGTCGTCAAGTCAGTGGTACACAGGTAAGAGAAGCAAAGTCCTTTGAGGCTGATGAATAATCTGTGGAACAGAAAAACATCACTAATTTTCATATACACCATAATGTAACGCTGCATATCGTATCTAAGGTTTAACTTGAGCTTGAAAATGCATGTGAACACTGCCCTCCTGTGGCCAGAAATACTGAAGTACAAACCAAAAGCTTTACCTGTTTAAATTCAACTATTATAACATCTACAAAATTTTGTGGCAAAGTTGACTAGTCATAAAAGAGTTTGATCTATCTGCATGCAACAAGCTAAAAGTGATAGATCAGAAAAAAAAACACGCAAAAAAAAACTGTACCACTCACCTCAATGCCTGCCAAGTCATTCTCTTTTTTTTCCGACTGAGCTACAATGCTAATGCAGCGAATGACTGATGGAAGCTTATACCCCTTCAATAAGCACTGCAAAAACTGCATGCCTAAATCATCAGACACTTGCCTCAAACTGTGCTACGCTGAGTTAAGTCATTTCAAATACACTTGCTTATGTGGTTTCTGACACTATATAATGAACTACTGTTATCTACACAAATGGACAACGTCCACTGCATAGGTAAATACATACATTTGTCCATTTATTTGTCCATTTTAACAAACATGGTAGATTTAATGCATTTGGTTTAACGTGAAAAATAGTAGATATCGTTATCTGACTATTGCTTAAAGAATGAGTCAGTGCCACCTTGACACATCTTGAATAATTCCAAAATTCCAAATTCCAAAATACAAGAGCCCATTATAAGCTTCACTAATAGAAATGTTTATTTTGGAAACTACGAACAGTGCTGTTCCAAAAGTCTAATATCACTTTCCATTAAAAAATATATATATATATTCACACACACACACACACACACACACACACATATACCTATATATATATGTAGCACATTCAGAATAATAATATAAATTATATATATAAATATCGCTGCTGTTGGAAGAAAACCTTGTATCTCCATTTTTTCAGTTTTTGACATAATTTGAAAATGCCTCTGATCCTTTATATTCTGTTAATTTCATGAAGAATGGACCAAAAGAAACGTCCCAAAATGACTTGGAAAAAAGTCTGTTTCCATCGACTTACATTAAAAGTGAAGTATGTTTTTTTCCTTCTCCTGTAAAGTTACCATTTTGGAGATACAAGGTTTTCTTCCAACAACAGTGATATGTAAATATATATAATAAATATCTGATACCTCTAAGCATTTTTTCACTACATCCAATTTAACATTAGTAATAAATAACATCTTCCATTTACATCAGATAATGAGGCTGTTCTACTGATGAGATACTGAAGCTGAGTAAACCTTCAAAAAAAAAAGCTTCATTATTCCTATGCAGCATCATCAAGAACACAACACAAGTAAAGTTATGCTTACCTGCGTTAATACTGTTTATTCTGGAGATCCTGGATCTGTGTGGTGTTGCTCCTCTCTTTTATACTGTTTTTACCGCGCTGGCTGCATGCCTGGGATTTTCCCAAAACCAGAAAATGAGATCAATGCCGAAATTGAAAAATGCTCCGCATCTTTTAAACTACAAACACCCCTTTAACGGTCCTCTGCTCTCACGAAAACATGCCCACACAAAAACAATACGACTCTCTACAGGTCAATACACACCGAACACAGTGCAAATGAACAACATGAAAATATAATACCTTTTTTTTCGCTGGATGCGATGAATTTTTTTGTGTTTTACTGTATTGTTAGGTGGGCTACTTTCCACTTTTGAAAAGTGCATCACTGAGAGTTTCTTTGCTTCAATCTGGAGCAGTTCAACTTCATGGGTGCTTTTGCACAAAGCACTGATGTCCGTGACTCAGTTTGAGCTGCTTTCATGCTAAAATTGATTGATTTGGCACAAATGAATAGAAACACACAGTGAGAAAGTTCAGAAGAATGGTACATACACAGAAACGCAAACCCATCAGCATGCTTAAAATTTCATAATGACACATAACTCTTCAGTCCATAGTCCACTTTTAACTGTTCTCAAGTACAAGATGAACATTTAGATGCTTAAATATACAGACTGGTCATACTTCATGAAACTCATGACCTCTATATTTATTATTCTTATTATACTGCCCTAGGCTGTAAATTACAACCAGTAAATCAGGATGCAGCTGGGTTTGAGTAATAACACTAAAGAGGACTTTTAGGGGATTTTACACTAGTGATGGGAATTCCGGCTCTTTTTAGAGAACCGGTTCTTTTGGCTCGGCTCATTAAAAAGAGCCGGCTCTTTCGGCTTCCAAGTGGCTCCTCAGATTTTTTGTTGCTTAAATTAATTTATTACCAAATTATGTGTAAAATGAATTACTAATGTAAAAACATACATTATATCAAATGTTTATTATTTATATGGCTTTATTTATATACTCAACATGGAACAGTGTGCTACAAAAATAAATTATAAAATACAAAAATCAAAGACCCATCTAAATTAGACAAAAAGGTCCAATCTCTGATTGTGTATATTATTTGTAAATTTGTACAGTGAAACAACACAACATCAACAAAACATCACTCAACAAAATATGAATTAAAATGTGCAAAACAAAAAGAAAAAGCAGCATCCTTTAGCGAAGTGGTGGTGTACTGGATGGTGCTGCAGACGTTGTAGGAGCAGCAACAGTTGCAGTAGACACACTGGCACCTTCATTAATATCAGGTTCCCTTGCTTGTCTTTTCTCTTCTAATTGCATTGATGGATGAACAGTTCGCATATGCCTGTGCAGGTTGTTTGTGGAGGCTGCTCGATATGAAATTTTAACTTTGCACAATCTACACTCTGCCTTTCAACTGTCTATCACATTAAAATGTGTCCAAACTTTACTACGTTTCCTGTCACTCATTTTCCTCACCTTTCCAGCGTGTAGTCTGTCTGACTATGTAAAGCGCAAAGTTCTCTCTCTCTTGTCTCTCTTGGAATTCCCATCACTATTGTACACTCCTTCCTCCACAGATCCACCATACACCATACTGTTCATCAGTGCTTGAACATCTAGCGTCCCATATTTAAATAAAGACTTTAAGCTATTTTCGATATCCACACATAATTTGATTTACTCCACTATGAGAAGGTTTGTTTGTGGATAGTGCATGGTCAAAATGAACTTAATGAAAACAGTGCAATTTGTTGCATAGTTGCACATTCTGTTTTTTTAAAGTGACCTTCCAGAAAAATATCCACTAGCATACCCAATGCATGAATGTATGTTACTTGTAAATGCACATAAACATGATTTAGTGTTAGTGTAAAACACCTGCATTTACAGTAAGATGCCTGACAGCAAACCATAAACCAACACACTACAACTCTTTAACATACTTACTTGTTCAAAACATAGGCCTAGATTACCATATTGACATGACGACAGACAATATATAAAGGCAAGGACAGAGGGGGAAATCCTCCATGTCGTTTTCAGGGCAGTTCCATTACTTTATTAATGCAAATATAATATGTAAAATGAGCACTCTGAGGTGTGGGGGATCGAGGGAACATAAGGGACTTAGCAGCCAAATTAACCCAGAAATCACTGCAACCTGATACATTTCCCTTTTGAAACCTGCACAGAAAATGGCAGATATTTCATAACAATAAATACTATAAAATGTTTAATATTTCAAAACCATAACATTCAATTTGCTGTGCTCAGACTCAGATTTAGGTAACAAACTACTCCATCTGTTATACATGACTGCTGATACACCTTGATTACTTTATTTTGTTAGCCTGCTGGTTGACAAACTAAAAGCGACACAGCTAGAAACAGCAAAAACGAAAGGCAACACACCACAAGTTCAAACCAAAGCTTGCAGCCAGACAAAGCAATAAATCACAAAATGTATGCTTAGACATCTCAAACAACTTCCACATTACAAAGTTAGCATGGTCACCATGGCTAATGCATCTAAAGGCCAGTGTATGCCAATTGAAAAATCTCCTCGCTGTCCCTTGTAATGAGTCGAAGTTGGCAAGGCTATATTTACAAAAAGGCTTGAAACGGGTCATAAGGTCTACGGTGACAAAGATTACAAGAGTTTTTAAAATAAACTGCATTAAAATAAAAGATGTTCCATATACTCTCTTATAGATAAGTATTCTCCACTGGAAGGAGTTTTGTTTAAGCATTGACACTAATTTGAAAACAAAAAATAACAAAACTGTCAGTAGAGGGCAACAATGTTACACTTAGAAATTCTTCCTATCATTTTTTTAACGCAGTTGTTGCAGGGGAGCTATGTATCTTCATAGTAGTTCAGATGACCACAATTGTAATGTAAAATCTCAGTCATATTTTAGTCATAATACCCTTTTTATATTCATCTCATTAATTACTTCTTGGTCACAAATGTGGCGCTCTCGTTTGATCTGCTATAAATCTCCTTAAAGCAGCTTTGTGCATGTGGTAAAGAGAGAGAGAGAGAGAGACAGGGACAGAGACAGAGAAAGAGAGAGACAGAGAGCGAGCGAGACAGAGAGAGAGTGAGTTTTGTTGAACAGCAACCTGAACATGGGATAAGACTCAACAGCTCATTTTATTGGCGCATCTGTTCTGAAGAAGCATCTTGTAGTTGCACCTCCTAGACCGACAGCCTACAGACCCTCTCACGGTACTTCAAGTTAGAGCTTTTCAGCACAAACCAGAAAGGATTTAGTGTGAGTGCACCCTGCTGAGAAAGAGAACCAAGGACCTCCAGTGGACTAGACTACTTTACCAGAAGTGAAAAGGTAAGTATTCACAAACTCCATATAGTTGCATATGTTACCTTCTCTCTCTTTCTTGTTCCCACTTTTAAAGATCATATTGGCTGCAGTTTATAAAAATAACAAGAATCAATTCATTTTGATACAAATGCGTTTGAGCAATAAAGTGAGAGAGTGTAGTAGGGTAGTTTAAAAAACAGATCTGGTTGTGCTTTGATACTCTGCATGTGTGTTAAGGTGTGTGTGTATATGTACTATCTGATAGCTGATATGATGAAATTGCAATTTCATCCTCCACTCATAGTTAACCTGGAAAACCTTATGCATCCTATTTTATCAAAAAGAAGCACACTGAACAAGTGACATTTCTTATGCTGAGTAGCTCTGCTTTGATTAACCTAACACAACCTGGGAAATGAGCCTACAATGTGTTTGTTGACCACTGCTGACAATCAAAGTCAAAGGAACTCCACAACAGAATTATGGAAAGTCCCAGTTTTTCCATTTGCACTTTGTCTGAATAGTGTCTCATTGTATGTGATAAAATGTTCTCTAGAGCAGATCTGTGTTAAAAAGGCGAGGGATGCTGTGAGAGACTGTCGGTAGCTTTCTAATTGCCACATAACGTCTCCATAAAACACATGTGAATCTGTGCATTTGGGTGGAAGTGCCCCGCTCATACAGGCACCAAGCTTTGATCACTGGTTTCCTAGCAACGCTCAAAAGAGCTGCCCCTCCTCCTTCCATCCACTCTCACTCACTCTGCATGTTATTATACATTTAATGGCTGAAAATATGGTGTAGCATCACTGGCAAACTTCTGAGGGGATCCAGAGGTCAGTAATATAAAGAGGTTTATTTACTGTTCAAGAGTCTACATCGTGGGAGCCTGTGAGAGCAAAAAATGACTACACACAACACACAGCCTACATCTGCATTCAGGAAAATCCAACTGGCACCAAGTGTAAAGCCACTTGAATTTATATTTTTAAATAGTTGCTGATGGTTTCTATTGGTTTGAGCTTGATTCATCTGGCCTTTGCCAATGTTCTGCTTCAACCAGCTGGAATCATTATCAGTTGCCAGTTGAAATGAACCAGCTGGAACTATTAGAATTGTACATGTTGTTTCTACTGGAATTTCCAATAGTCATCTAGCACAAAACTCTCTCTTCTTGATATCTTAATCTCACCCTAAAACAAAATAACCTACACATATGTGAAGTACTGAGGCAATGGAGAAATGGAAAGTAAGCACTCACACACACATAAACAGGGCTTGAAATAATAAAATGTTGAAATAATAACATATAGTATGGCACAATATGATAATGTAATTGATTTGATTCACTATCACTTACATAGCTGGATGTCTCAGATCTAAGACATCTCATTACTCTTGTCTAAACTTGTTAAGACCTGTGGCAGCATATTGAAAATGCTAATTCAATTGTATATTTACAATTGCATTTCCAATGTAAGTGTGCATTATTTACAACGTATTTCAAATTTAATGTGTATTTGCATTTCTGGGTATAATGGCTGCTAAAGTTGATATGGAAAAGCAAAGTTCTTTTGACATTTAATTTTCATTGCATTAATTGGGTGACATATCACAAAGGAAAAAAAAAAAACATTTGCAACTGCCCATTTGCAACTGCATTTCCTCATTGTGGTGCTTCAGCTCTGCCAAAATGAAACAAACAGGATTGCAATTGCATTTTCAGTGTCAATGAGGCTTCCTGTCAATCAAATGCTGTGAGTGGGACGTGGGGAGGGTCTTTTTAGCGTAGGGCGAGTTTTAAGAGGAAGTAATGAGTCTAAACATTGGCAGTACTAAAACAGAACTAGATGCTTGTTTACATTACGGAGCTAGCAATAGCAACCGCTGCTAGTGACATTTTAACTTGCCAGCCAGGCCGTGGATAATTATATACAAAGAGATTCCCTGTTGTTTAGTGTGGATGAGATTGTGGACCGACTTGGAGAGTTTGTGGCTGCACAAGCACCAATGTTAGTGACATCGTGACCGACTTCAGGCAGAGGCTCGCAGGACTGTTGGAGGACCCGGATGGCCAATGATGGATATTCTTATTAAGGAGGCGCAGGGCCACTGTGGGTTCAGCGCAGTGTTTCTCAACCCTGCGCCTGAAGAAACTTAACAATAAGATGATTTTGAAAAACTGGTCGCCCAGCTTGTTAACAGTCCCTGACTACTTGTTATGGGCATGTTAAAGCAGGAAAAGCACTAAAATCAGGGCAGTGTTTCTCCAAGAGTCATGCAAGCCTCTGGCCATAGTATCACTAACATTGGTGTTTGTGCAGGCACAGACTCTCTAGTCGGTCAAGAATCACTTCCACACAAAATAACTGCTCATTAACAACCACTGACTATTTATAACAGGTGTGTTACAGCTAAAATGTGCAGGGTAGTGTTCCTCAGACAGTGCAGCGAGCCTCTGCCTGAAGCCAGTCACGATGTCAGTTACATTGGTGTTTATGATTGCACAAGCTTTCATAGTTGGTCAGGAATCACTTCCACAAGAAACAACAAGAAAGCACTTTTGACAGAATTATCCTCGGCCTGGTTAGCAATGTTAAAATGTCACTAGTAGCGTTTGCTATTGCTAGCTCCATATTGTAAACAAACATCTAGGTCTACTCCAGTAAAGTTTAGACTCGTCACTTCCTCTTAAAACATGCCCCGCACTAAAAAGTCTCTCCCGACATCCCACCTGAAGTGTCTGATTGACAGGAAGCCTTGTTGACAGTGAAAATGCAATTGCAAACAGGATTGCAACTGCATTTTTTACTTTGGCAGAGCTGAAGCGCCACAATGAGGAAATGCAATAGCAAATGGGTGACTGCTTCTCTTTTTTTAATATATATGTCATACCATTAAGACAATGAAAATGTCAAAAGCACTTGCTTTCTATATTAACTTTAACAGCCATTAAACCCAGGAATGCAAATGCAAATACACATTTTGCATTAGAATTTATGTCTTAAATAATGCACACTCACATTGGAGATGCAATCGTAAAAACACAATTGAGTTAGCAATTTTTTTAATTAGCATTTTAATTAGAATAACGTCTGGAATATGCTGCCATGAAGACCAGGGACAAAATGAATATGTAAAGTTCTTGCTATCCTTTACATGACACAATGCTAAGAAAAGTGTTACCCAACAACATGAGACTAAAATGTGGGTCCCGACCAGAGAATGAATTGTATGATGATATTAAAGGGGCTCACCTTTCCCCCCACTGTGTGTGTATGGGACCACATTAGATTTTATTGCTTAGCTAATGCAAACAGTAAAAAACACAAATATTTTAGTCAATTATTACTGTACTTACTGTCAGTATATGTGCCCATCTTACTTACCACATCACCTGACATCAAGTAGCATGCATCTGACTCTCTCTCAGACATGGTGACCATATGTCTTCTGTTCTGTGCCCTGACCAGTGCAAGATTAAAACATTATAATTAGTAAACTATTCAGCAGAATGTGTATTCACAATCACAGAGGCAGAGCAGCAGTTATGTTTCTGTGCTAGCCTTCCTAGTCTATCGATATTCGTGCCTGACTTTTTTGCCTCCAAATCAAATACTTTAGTTAATCAGTAGGCTGTGGTTGTTACATAGCATTTCAGTTTCAAATAACCTTTACAGGCATAAAGGAATACATCTGATGTGGAGCTTTATTTCTCAACTCAACGTGCTCAGAATGAAATGTGAGTAATATGGCTGATAAAGGTAACTATGATACAAATCGTTGCATGTAGGCTCCATTACCTAAACTGCTAGCTACCTGTTCACATTTAAACTCTAATTGTGCACTCAACACGTTGTTTTCATCGCACTTTTAATACTGACAAAAACTGGACATAACACAAAAAGCGAAGGAAAGAGTTAAACTTCTCCTAGACAGCTATACTCATAACTTTAATATTCTGTATTACTAGCTGGATGTCACAGTGGATGCGTGTTCAAGTTTCACCATTAGCTAACGTTATTTTCCTCTTTTAGCGGAATTCCTTCCAGCTTCTTATTAACTCATAATATTAAACAATAAACAGGTTGTATTTTCGATAATATTAGAATAGTGATGGAACAAATATGAAAAAACAACACCAACAGCCACAAAAGTAGCTGAGGTTGCACATGAGAGAGCGAGCGACTGTGGTAGCGGCAGCTAGGTTAGCGACTAGTAACGCTAAGTTAGCTAGCGTTAGCTAGCTAGATAAACGTACCTGCTAAGGTTAAGGGACAGCCAGCCTTATACACCAACTACCCTAAACTGCGTAAGTCAGCTGATATTGCAAATTAATTCATAGAGCAATTAATACAGCTTTGTGTATATTATAAGGTTACGCTATCTTGCTAATTTGCAAACGAGTTTTGTTGGATACTCAAATTACCTCTTTACAAAAACAGAAATGTAATCAGAGAATGAAGCTTAGGATCCGAAGTTAAGAAATGGTATGGCCCGCTATGGGGGTGTTCAAAATTGCATTACACATATTTCTGACAGTGGAAACATATTTCAGTGTTTACTATTAAAGCGATTCAGTAGATCTTAAGAATCCTCTGTTTTGTGTCTTAACCTCCGTTACGAGAGTTTAAGTTTTGGTAAGGGGGCGAATTCCCCTGCCCCTTTGTGATTCTCATACCCTGAGCAGAACGAGAGTAGCTGCATATTATCATATACGAGTCACGGTGAGGCCTGTTTAAAAGGCTATTATTTCACGAGACATGTTTTTGCATACTAGCTAGCCGCATGTGGCCAAGGCTGCAGTCTTGATTTCCCAGTCAAAATGCTGTCTCACCCTGCAGCAAGACTCTGTGAGAGAGAGAGAGAGAGAGAGAGAGAGAGAGAGAGAGAGAGAGAGAGAGAGAGAAGTCCTGTCAGAGATACATAAATAAAAAAAACTGGTGGAACTAGAATAAACGGAATAAGAAAAAGTCATTGTCTTGTTTTCAGTAACTTCGCATAGTCTTATAAAAGGCCTGTCACTTAAGAACTACTGTGTTTTATTTAAATGGCTATTTGATACTGAAATGGTTGAGGAACAATTAAATGTTATTTGGATCCTTAGTGTCTACACTATTTGTTTCATTTTAATTTTTTTTGCAATTAAATTCACTCTAGCGGCTGCACATAAGCCAGTATGGGGTTGTAATTTTATTGAAGTCCTTCAGCATGGCTTCTGTGTTAGTTCTTGCAGGTGTGAGAAGAATACGTTCAACCTGTTCCTTTAGCTTCACAGAAAATCATTGGACCCTCTTGGGGGTAATGGGGAATGGGGGAAATGGTTTGAAATTGGTAGGAACAGAAGATAATGAAAACATGTAAGATAGTCCAGTACCAGGGACTGAAACTGTCTAAGCTAGAAAAAAATTTAAAGTGTGATTCAACCTTTTAGTAATAAAGAAGACTGAGTTGCTTCAAATTAATTTTCTAGTTTGATTGGTTGTTTCCCTAATTTTGTTCTTTGTGAGATTTGTGAATGTGCTTCTTTTGTGTACTTTATTTCCCTGCAGAGAATGACAGAGGTTATAAACACACCAGAACAAACGAGAGGCGACCTGGCTGTAGGAGGAGCTTCTGGAGAGGAAGGCATTTCCTTCCAGGTGAGTGCAGCTATCAGCCACTGCATCAGCCAGTCCACTCAATTGCTTTTGTCTGTGCAACAGAATATTGATTCGTTTCTTCAAAAATTTTGCTGCTAAATCTAGTCACGGATGTGTGTAATAGCTGCGACATTAACTGGTTTGAGTTTCTGTTTCCAGATCATCCCAGACGTACAGGAGCGGCACCCAAAGTTGTCCAAGCGTTTGCCCTCCATTGTGGTGGAGGCCTCAGAGGGAGAGGTGGAGAGTGGAGAACTGCGGTGGCCTCCAGATGACCATACACATACTCGCTGCCCAAGAGACACCACCCAGGACCCTGCTGCACAAACCCAGATGACACATGAATGTGAAATTACAGGTATGGAAAATTTTATAGGCAGAATGAACAAAAAAAGTTTTTTCAGTTTTATTTGCTTTCACACAGTATCACTGGAATGTTTTCAGTGGGTTCATGACTTCATGTCAACACAACCTACTGTATAGAATATTAAGCGTAACAGTTGGGGATATTTGTTATGTACCTTGATGCTTAGCACTCAATGGGCAAGGCAAGGCAAAGCAATCTTAGTTACATAGCAATTTATAAGGGCAATTCATAGTGCTTTACAAACGAAAAATGAAAAAAAAAACATGAAAAGGAAAGTAAAGACGCGTGTTAAAAAATTTAAACAGAAGCTTAATAAAGAAAAGAAATGAAAATGAACACAAATGACACAAGTAAAATATATAACAAAAATCAATGCTAAAAAATAAAGATTGGCAAGAATAATTTAGAGCTCAATTATAAACACACAAAAAGAGAAATGTTTTTAACCTGGATTTAACAATCGCTAGATTTGGGGCACGTCCTGGAGTTGGTTCTAGTTATATGTAGCATAACAGCTAAATGCAGCTGCACTATGTTTAGTTTGGACTCTAGGCTCTTCTAGCTGACATGTATCCAGGAATCGGTTTATATTCTTTAATCATATTTCAGAAATGTATTCTTGGCCTAAAACATTCAGTGATTTATAGACTAGAAGCAGCTATACTGCAACAAATTTCCTTCGGGATCAATAAAGTATCTATCTATCTATTAACCAGAACCCAGTGTAAAGATTTTAGTACTGGAGTAATGTGCTCTGTTCTCTTGGTCCTGGTTAGAACTCTTGCAGTAGCATTCTGATTGAGCTGTAGCTGTTTAAAGGCCTTTTTTGAGGGGTCCAATTAAGAGACCAATACTGGAGTCCAGCCTGCTGAAGGTAATGTCATTGTTGGGTTTCTCCAGGTCTTGTTGGGACACCAAACTTTTGATTTTGGCTTTTTGTTAGGATGATAGAAGGTTCTTTTGGTAATTGCTTTGACATGACTAGTGAAGGTAAGATCTGAGTCTATTGGAACACTAAGATTACAGATTTGGACTTTGTTTTTTATAGTCCTGGAATCAAGGTATGCCTTTAATTTAAGTCTCCTGTTTTTAAGTGTCTTCCTCTCTATAGTTTGGAATAAGCATAAGTAACAGAATAAGTATCAGAATAAGCTAAAGCTCATTAGGTCAGTCTCTGTAGTTCAGTATTCTCAATTGCCCATCTTCTCAAATTATTACATTGTGAATGAATTAAGGATTGAATTATCAGTCTGCTTCCTTGTGTATCTGATATGATTTACAATTAATCTTACTGTTTTCTCGCAGAAAACATTCAGGAGCAGGATGACTGAAGCAACATGGGTACATCTGATGCAGCTGGGCATTTCTGAAATACAGTGTCCTCTGTCGTTATCACAAGCCTCAGTTTTCAAATCTCTCTCTTTCTTTCATTCTTCTCTTTCACACACTCACATACAAATATATACAGATAAACGTAAGGCTCTTAAGTGCCAGATATTTTAGCTTACATAATAGCTCTAATCATAATTAAATCCTACACATATAGTGACACAGTTGCAAAAACATGTATATTGCAAATATTAGCATCATATAAACATGTAGTTGTTCCAAAATATTCAGTGCTGTAAGATAATATTTTTGCTTTGAAGAACCCCTGAAGGTTCCACTGCATGCACTCTCTATAATCAGATGAGTGTTTGGGCTCTACACCACAGTGACCACTATGAGCATCCTCTCCATGTGAACATTATTTATCACACAAGCACAAGTGAAAACATCATGTAAGGAGACTTCATCCTCTCTCAGTAACATCTGGCAGGGGTTCTTGGATACTGACTGTCTTGGAACTTCAATGAAGCCCACCTGTCAATCATTCTTGGTGGATATGTTAGTCATACCCAAGTCTCTTTCCGTTTCAAAAGTCTGCCTGCACTGCTGGGTACTCTTCACATATACACACTGTAGTGAGACACTTTATATTCCACATTTGAAGCAGCAAACATTACCAAAACTAATTTATGTAATGATCAGATGTGACAAGTGAATTTGAAAAAAAAGCATAGTATGTATCAATCATTGAAAAGTCCAAAAGCACATTATCAGTGTGGCACTCAAAATCAGCCAGGAAATCTGATGAACCTACACAATAACTTCATCTGACCACAGCATAAAAATGAAGAAAATACATGCACCATTTTTTGCAAGGACATACAAATGTGTAAATGTATGTCCTGTAAAAATGTATATCAGACCTAGAATGCTGATCATGATTGTAATATAAATTCTGTCTACACTTCAAAGTGAGATAAGTTCTACTGCTGAAAACACATACGGTCCTATTTTCTTGATCATAGTTTAAGCACAAAAATAAGCCACGTCTTCTTGTGGATGTTCACATGTGTGAGCTCTCGAGAACAGAGAGTTTATGCCGGCTAATTCCTTGGCGCTGAGTCTGGTATTTTAAAGCAATAATCCTATAGGCTATACTTGTGATTTTGCCACAGTTAAGCATTTTATTGCTTTTAACAGTTATATTTAGTTAGTATTTGGATAAGGTTGCATATTTATATTGAAGTGATTTGACAAATATAAAAATTAAAAATAGAAAATTATAAAGAGATAAAAAAGAAAAATGTTTTGCAGCTCGCAACGCAAACACAATTTTGGACTAAAGTGGGTGCAAAAATAGCACTGCGCGGCAGATTTGAATACCACGTGCCCTGTTGCGTCACCCCACTGATGTCAGCACAGGCTGTTCATTACATAAACAGCAACTGGGAGCAAACAGGAAAAAATGTGCTTGCGTCAATTAAAATGCCAATTCACTGCCATTATACCACTAAACTGCACTTTCAGAACAATTAATACATAGATTATTAGGTTGCATTTTTTGATCTTCATATGTAAATGTTATTTATCTGAATAGTGTCAGTACTTTTTAATAAAGTCTTATCTTAGAAATCTGCTGAGTGTGTTTGTGCTGTGTTAAAAAAATTCATCTCTTAACATCAGTTTTTTTTAATTGTATAAACTTGTCTATAATTTCCTATAAAAAAGAGTTAAAACACAAGCCTAAGTGAAAGTGTCTTTGTTGCTTATTTTCTGGGTTAATTAGTATGTTAATTAATATTTTGCTTACTATTAATATAGATATCTATAGGTCAAGAGAACAGAAATTAGTAAAATATATTGAGTTAAAACATGTCTGTAATTAAGAAATGAAGGCCAATATAGATAAGATATATTGCGTGCACACTGCAAGCATCTCTAACAGATGTGACCAAGACCCTTGAGCAATTTGAAGAAACTGGCACTCATGTAGACTCAGCAAGGTCAGGGAGGCCAAGGGTGACTTCAGAATCGGAAAACCAGTTCATTACGATCACAAGTCGGTGAAACCAGCTATTAACTGCTCCTAAAATAGAACAGCTAAATGCCACTGGAAGTACAGATGTTCCAACATCAGCTGCTCAGGAGAGATTACATGAAGTTGGCCAAAGTGGAAGAATTGCACAAAAAAAAAATGTTAATGTTGAGTTGGTGATCTTTAACAGAAGTGTCATTCAGCGTCTATCAGCATTTTCAGAGGTTCACTATTCCAGTGAGCTGATTGAAGCTAGCTGGTGGGTTCATCTTCAGGCATTTGGAGAATATCTATACAGTGCTGCCTCTAAGTAACTGGACAGTGACACAGTTCTTGTTAAAAAGAAACAATGACCATGGGATTAAAGGTCAAAACTTTAGTTTAAGGCTACTTAACATCAATATTAGACGTACTACCACAGCTCTTTTTAAAGATAGCCTTAATAGTGCGTTTTAGCTCATTATACTGCAGCAAGGTGAAGCTCTATCTACGTCTGAGACATTTGATTGGCTCTGTCACTTGCGATACATCTGTACGCATCAAAATTAATCCTGTTGCTGCTATTTGCTGTCTTATTAACAATAACGACAAGTAAGCCACGACACTACCTCCACCATGTTTTTGGATCATGAGCAGTTCCTTTTTTCTTCACACTTTCCTTATTACATCACTCTCTCATACAAGTTAATCCTCATTTTATCTGTCCATAAGAGTGTTCCAGAACTCCACTATTAAACTATAACCTGTAATGGGCTTTTTCTGTTCTTGAGTCTGATATTTTTTTACTTTTTTATTTTACATTCTGTATTATATTTTACATTCTTTTCTTCAGAAAAAGAATACATCTTTTGTGATACATCTTTGCCTTCATCATAAATAGTGTTTTTGATTCATTATTTTATTTTTTTCTCTTTATGACTGAAAATATTTTCAGTCATCCACTACCATGGTCACCCTGCCAGGGTATTTGCAGTTGTTGAGGATATTCTTTCTTCTTTAAATAGTACCAGACAGTTGGTTTAGACATCCAGACACATTTGTAATGGTGTTTCAGATTGTTTTATTCTGCTTTTCTGCCCTATGCTGTCCTGCTTTATCAGTATTGATACTCACTGTTAAGGAAAATAATTTCTGGGTGAAGAAGGGAGGAACACCACAGTGTGTCTGATTAAAATGCAATGAGAGGATGTAAATATCCACCACAGTTCTTTATTGGCTTGAAGAGGATGCAGATGATTGATTGCACCTAGGCAAATTGGATGCATAGGATAAGCATGGGTGGATAGATGAGGAGTGAGGAATGGACAGTGGATGGATGGATGGATGGATGGATGGATGGATGGATGGAGGAATGGATGGATGGATGAGGAATGGATGGTTTACATCAATAACACGTCCATTACTAGGATTCTAAACACCTCATGCTGCAGGAACAGATAGCCTTCAAACATATGGCAGGAGAGAAGGAAATGGCTTGTTCCATTATAAGCTCTAGTCCCTGCCTACTTCCTGCCCCAAAGGGCTATGGGTCATGAAGTTTCGGTACCTTGACCTAAGAATTTCATGTTGAGAGACAACAGCAACAGACACCAGATGCAAATACCATATCAGGAATCATCTTGAGACCTTTTTGCTTGCTGTTGTAAGCATAGCTGATTGATGCAACAACACACAGCTGGCCAAGAAACAACTGAGCAGTGAATTGTTTGATCAGTCATGGTCCCCTGATGTGAGGGTGCTATATATAATAAGTCTGTAATTCTTATTTGTTTCAACTATTGCAGGTGACATTCTGTACTTTAACTTCATAGTCATTGTTTTATTACAATTCAATGTGCTAGACTGCTTGTGCTAGACTGCTAAGCCAAAATAACAAACATTTATCACTGTTACTTACAGTCTGCACAATAAGTTCTTTGTACTTACATGGGTCTTAGAAATGAATTACGCTGAAGACCAGTGAATTGTTATTAGTAATATTCTGTAGCATTATGCATACATTATTTATTATGGCACATCTACATGGACATGCATGTCTGCTCATTTTAACTCCTCGCTCTGTTTTGCACCATTACATATTTCTTTAAACTAGTCTTGACAGCTGGGGAAGGGAGAGTTGGAAAAGACAACAAAGAAAAGTGAATCTAAACAAAAGAGCAGGAGAGGAGGAGGAAGAGGAGGAGGATGGAGAGAAGTAGAGAGACAGGCACACAGACAGTGCATGTAAAGAAAGAACAGTGACGGCTTTTTGGTTGGCACTCACCTCTTGATTGTGGCTGATAAATAGTGCATAAGATACAGTGCAAGTATGGTTTGTCTAGATAAATTAAATTGATAAAATTGTTCATTAGACAGAGAAGTTTACATTCAAACAGGCTGGAAAGTCCCTACGCTTCACTGTTTTATATTCTAAAGGCACATGTTAAAAGTGGACACAAGGTGATTAAGTTTTCCACAGAAGCTTGTTGACTCCTCTGTGATTAACATGACCTTTATGACCTGAATTCTGCTCAGAGGGTCATTTGGTGCGCTTACTGATCCCATAATCCCCTTGTCAGTAATGATGTCCAGTGAACTGTTGCTTCTTTCCTCTTTTCATTCTCCAGCAGGAGCACATCCCCACATAATTTCAGTTTTTTTGAAAGCCTGCCTTGTCCAATTTATTATCTGTATTAAAAAAAAACATTTGGTTCATTAGCATACTGTTTATCTTTCATTCACTTTTTTCACTGCAGTATAGAGCTACCCTTCCATGCCTCTGGTGATAATGTTTGTCACAGCAGCCTGGCTCATTTTGGACACAGAGCATGGCACTTGACCCACTTCTACAAGGGTCTGGAGGCTGATTGTCAGTCAATACAGCCATCAGCAGCAGACTCCCTGATTATCATTATCATTAACATCTGAGGCATAGACTCCGCACTCTGTCTTTATCCATCCATGTCCTTTTTATTGGATTCATTTATTCTGCTCTTATGTTAAGCACATACACAGCCATGTGCAGGTGTTCTTCCCTATGAATGGGTCGCATTGTGAAGTGGAATGAAGTGC